AGGCTTGGCGATTAAACACCAACCCGAACATGCTCAAAATCGCTACCCGTCACAGCCTCACCGAAAGACCGCTTATGAAGGGACTCGGACGTCGACGGCCACGATTCCTCCGGCCTGGTCGTCCTCCCTCGCACTCACCTTACAATTCAATGTACGTGACGAGCACAAATTACGCATATCCAGCAACACCCAGATACCGCACCCCCAGATATCCCGACGCGGCTGCGCATCATTATTCCTGAGGATATATCGATCGTCACCGAGCCTCCCGCAATGAAATAGACGCTATTATACCCTCTCCCAGTGGTCCAAAGTCGTCATCGATATCTATGACCTTCCCGGAGCTCGCTTGTAAGCCCCAAGCACCCTCGCAGCAGAACAGGATAGCGCCCTCTGCCCAGAGTACTTATACTGCCAGGATCGCAAGAATTGCAAGACGCGTCTCCTCCGAAGAGTACGTGAGCTTTGAGTATTTCCTTTGCCCCCAAAAAAGTTCTCCGCTCTCTACTCTCCGCATCCGCTGCTCCGTCTCGAGCCTATGCTGACCACATCGACCAGGGAACCCCCAATTCTTCTGTGCGTACGCAGTCATTCGGCCCGTACCACTGCTCCCGCCACGTCCCCACTCGGCACTTATCTGCTGCCGTCACATCTCACTGCTACAGACTCGGGGCGCTGCGCGCCTTCAGCCTCGCGCAAACGTTCACTATGTGGAAAGGCGAACCGTAGGTGCCTCTCTTGCGCGCGCGAGTACCGGCTAATGCCCGTCCTTACAGGCGTCCCCGTACCATCCCATCAAAGCGCAAGGTGCGAATACGCCTCGAATCGAGAACTTGTAATCCATCTCATCGTTGCCATAGATATCAGCGACCAACGAAACCGAGGGGTCCCCCGCATCCGCTCGCGGCGGGCGCATACACCAACCATCACCTCTGAAACGTCGCTGTAATTGGAACTACAGCACGTTGACCCCCATCCCGCCGCCCCCGCCCCCACAAATCATCGTCATACCGCCAAGCCCGCCCCCTACCGCTGGACGTTCTCGCTCAGACTGCTACAACTTCGATTTTGTATAGTACTAGCACTCATGTTGTCCCACTTGGACTCTCCAGCTCACTGACTCGGCCGCCGCCCGTGTACATACTAGCACTAAGAATAACATTCTACCGTATGGGATATAGCCAGACCACGTAGTTCATGTCATATAGCAAGTAACGCAGTCTGGTCTTCGGCGTACTATCCACGCAAAGACGCAGCCAATACCATGGCGTCCAGCCTGCAAAGCAGAACGCCTGGCGCCGCACGCACACGCAGCATCACCTCATCCGCAGGAAAAGTGCGTGGTGCCTCACCAGCCACGCCCAGTCTTCGCATCCAAAGTCTTCCACCGCCCCTACAGTGACCGCTGCATCCGACCAGGGCGGTCCGTACGTCGACTCCCCAGTCACAGGATCGCGCTCGATGCTGCGTATCTGCGGGCCATACCCAACGAGCCTCAGCGCCCGCGGGCGGTCCTTGAGCAGCCGCGCACGCAGGTCCAGCGACCTGCCGAGGGACAGATCATGTTCGAGATACAGAATGTGCAAGTAGCCCAGTGCAGGGCGCCTCTTAAGCTGGCCACAACGAGGGAGCGGTCAGCGAGGCACTGGCAGGCGTAAATGGGGTCGCCACACACCATGTCAATCCAGTTCTGTGGATGGATGTCGGACCCGGACTCGAAGGCGTTGAAGGTATAGGTCGACCATCTCAAGAGGAGCGCCGAGAGGCCAAGCGGGAGTCGCTCGTCGAGCAGCGCCAGATGCTCTCTGCTGAACCCCGCACCTTTGAGCTCCAGCCCGACGACTTCGAGCCGTGGCAGGTACGCGAAGACGTCGAGGAAGCGTATGTAGTCGTCGCCCATTAACAGATGGTTGAGTTGGAGGTCGAGCCGCCGCATCCCCTTCTTGTTCTTGAAGAACTCGATGAACGGACCCGGATCGGCAACAAACGCCTCGCCCCATAGGACGAGCTTGAATGATGTGAGGCACGGAAGAGCGTCTTGCGTCGCCCGTAGCGCAGTGAGCAACTCAAGCTCGCAGTTAAAACCAACGGTCATGATTGACAGGGAGCATAGTTGCGCGCAGTGCGCAAAGATGAGGCCAAGCTTGGCCAGGCTGCTTGGGTGCATCATGGACAGCTCTTGTAGCCCGGAGAGGACCCGCAGTGAGACAGCCCATACCGCGTCTCGCCATATAGAGAGGTGAAGGAGAGTGTCAGGCACGTTCTGAGCGCAGGTTGTAAGCATGCTGTTGAATTCTGCACCCAGACCCGTGGATACGTAGAAGTGGAAGGAGTTGCCTGCTAGCAATAGGGTTTGGAGGTTCTTGAACTGTGCCAGATACGGTGATGCGTCCTCATTTGTGCCAACTACGCCACTGAGACGGCATCAGAAGGTAGTTTGTGGTCTAGACGAGACTGAAGAGAGACAAACCAGATGTTCAGCTCAGTGAGCGACGATCCGGCGGTTCTCGTTAGAGCACCGAGGACCGAGTGCGAGAGCGGCGGCTTGAAGCCGTACCATCGAAAGACTTGAAGATGCGGAAGCGATTCCAGTGCGATGACCATGTGCGCTTTCAGGATGTGGTCAGATGCCATCGATGTTTCAAAAAGGACGAGAAGCCTACTTTCGATGTCCAAGTCGCTCTCCCCCGTACGACGGCCATACTGGTATGCGAACACAGAAATCGTCTTGACCGACCGCGCGAATTGGGCGTCACGCGCGATGCGTTGTAATATCTCCTTAGCTACGTTGTTCCGCCATGCGATGAGTAGGAGTTCGGATTCCGTGAACCTGCTGTGCGCGTGCCTCTGCGTACTCCAAATCCCGTAACGAATGACGATTCGAGAAAAGAGTATGGGACACACTAGACCATGGAACGCCGCCGAGACCGAGAGACAACTCCGTTGGTCAGCCCTCGGCAGATATTCCACGACGAGGCCCCAGAGCTCTGGAGGCAAGCGGGAGTAGTAGCGGCAGACTATGGGCTCGCTGTCGGACATGATAGCAAGAGGCAGGCCGCGGCGAGTTCGCGAAGCGCTGGCGATCTTGTGTAAGAACGAACAGAGCCGTGCCCGACCCGTTCGAGAGCCCGCGGGTGGTCCTTCAGCAGTCCTCTCGCGCCAGACATCCGCACAATGAAGCTCCTATACGATCAGCACGGTGGTATGTGATTAAGGGTCCCCGTCCAAACAAGAGAGCGCCTCCGCCTGGTATACACGTAGATCTACATCTGGATATAAAGCAATCTCCTCCCCTCCGTCCCGTCCATGTCCATCCATATCCATCCTTAGCCTCGTCTCATCGCTCCGCCTCTTCCTGTTCCTCCTCTACGTCCTCCTCGTCCTCGTCGCTCACGACCTCATCCACACCCTCCTCGCCGACGTACGTGGACGTGCGCGCGGAGCGGCGCCCCGCGTCCGCGTCGTACACCGCGTTCTGCTGGTCGCCGAGGTACCAGTCCGGCATGAGCAGCGCGAGGCCCACGGGCACCACGCTCAGCACCGTCGCTGCGATCAGCATCGTCTTCATCGTGTCGCTGTAGGCTGTACAAGCGTTCAGCACTACGCATCCCGAACTAGGCAACGCAAGACGTACCAGCGATGACACCCTGCCTAACCGGGTCACCCAGCGGACGCGCGCGCACATCCGTGATGCTCCCAAACAGCGCGTCCCGCTCCTCCTGGGTCAATCCCGGCAGGTGCTCCTTCAGCGCGCCGGGCATCGCCCCGCTCCAGATCGCGCCCGCGATGCTCCCGCCGACGCCCGCCCCGATCTCCGTCCACAGCAGCACGAGCGCGGTGATCATCGCGACGTCGGCGTGCGGGACGCTCGCCTGCGCGCCGATGCCAGAGCAGATCGCCGCGAAGCCGCCGCCCATGCCTTGCAGGACCTGCGTCCATACGAGCTCTGCGTCCGACCCGTCTGCGCCGCGCGAGTGGATCATGAGCGCGACGCCGCTGAGGGAGAGTTGTGATTAGATGAACTAAGCACGATCTAGGCGAGAGATAAACTCACACTAGGCGGATACAAAGTCCGCAGAATAGGATCCACTGTGAGAGGCAGGCACCGTCAGTACGTACGTACAAGGTACGTTCATGGTAGACGATTTACCTTGTAGCGGTGCAGGAAGCGCATCATAATTCCGGCGATGATGCCAAAGAAGGTCAGACCGAGCGTTTGTATCTGGCCGAAGTAGAATACGCTCGTCATCGACCTAGAACGCGTCCTCATGAGCACACGCTAGTTTACGATTAAATAGCACCGCTTACCAAGGCTTCGTCACGAGTACGAAGGAGGAGAGGTAGGTGTACGTCAAGAAGTAGGACAGCTTCGCGGGAGGCGCGTATGAGCCACAGCCGATCCGAGAAAATCGCAGAAGGCAGCGAAGCACGCACGAAGTCGAAGAAGCCGATCCAGGCGGCACAGACGACCGTCCGGTTAGCTAGGAATCGCCGAGCAATCACAGGCCGTTTGGCGTAGCGCAGGTCCCAAAGCGCGAACACCGGGAGGAAGATCCAGCCCCCAATGAACATCGCGAGCATGGGGGCTGTAGGGAATGGTTCTGAGCATACAGAGAATGCTGATAGCGTATAGAAGAACGGCTTACGACTACTCCACTGGCCTTTCGACCTCTGCGCGAGCGTCATCGGTAGCAGGATCATTGCTATTGAGCCTCCAAGGAGGATGAGGCCGACGAGATCGAGCTGTTCCGCGAAACGCCATGCACGTTGAAGTCTGGTGGGCTTGTCCTGTGACAATATTTCGCTGTGCGTAGGGGCGTTCATTAGACCGAGTTTCTTCGCTTTGTGCTCGCCCCAGAACAACGTGATGATCAGCGGCGAGAGAGCCATAGGGACCAGAATAGCGAACATGGCGTCTGTCAGAATGACAGCGTGAGTATGTTTGCTACGATAACGACGAGAGAGGCACATACATCCCCATCTCCAGGTGAGGTGCTCCAGGAAGAAGCTGGACAAGTTCGCGCCAACAAAAGCGTTGACCAGGAATGGCAAGGAAGTCATTCCCGTCACAATCCCGCGCCATTGAAGGGTAGTGATATCAGCGATGATAACGGAAGTGAGCAGTTGGAGTCCTCTAAGGTTCGAGCGAGTTTAGCACGCGCGCTGAATTACTGGTACGATGGAGAACACACGTGTAGCCGCTGCGGAGAACGCGTGCTGTCAGTCAAGATAGCGCGTCGACGATCGATAGATAGCATACATAGCGTAGAGGACGATGCCGGCTGCGACGGCACCGACGTTTGGCGAGAGAGCAATGACGATGTATCCTGCGCTGGATGAGCTAAGATCCCCGAATCAGGCAGGGCCGACCTACCAAGAACATAGAATACAACTGCATGCGGCGTTGCTTGTGAGTCATGATTTCCTCGTATGTGAACGAGCAAAGTACTCACGAACGACTACATATGCGGTACCGCGAGATGTGACGTCGGCAACTTTTGCAATTACGGGTTTTCCACACGCGACTGTTGGTCAGGTCAGCACACGACGTACGCATATAACTCGGGAAAACAAGCTAAGAAACCGTCGGGAATGTATCCGGGAGCTAATGGCCCTCAAAGACTCCCACTGAGCCATTCCCATCTGGAACGCATGGGGACGACGAGCTGGACACTGCAGTCTCTTCATGAAATAGGTGGAGAAGGCAGTATAGAATGTTGTCTTGCACCCAACATATCGGTGGGGTGGATCAGGCCTTCAAGTAATGGTCATGACCGCTGGGGACATCTGGCACAGGTATTCCGCGGAACGCACTTAGCTCGTCCTATGGAACAAGCGCGAGTCGCCGAGTTGCTTTGACCTGCGTGAGCGACCATCGGGTGACGTGAGCACGACATGTAACGCGCTCTTTCCTCTTGTCGACTCCTGGTCGATGTGGTCGAGCCCACTCTCGCAGCCGCGGCCACATCAACTCCAATCGTAGTCGACTGGCCGACGCGACGCTAAGAACGTCAAACGGACCACTGAAGGATATCGCACGAACAGGCAAAATTGTGAGGAACATTTCCCCGGAGAAAATGGCGTTTAAAAGATAGGACGCTCTCGTCGACTCCCCGTCGATCCGGTCGAGCCCGCTCTCACAGCCACGGCCACACCCACTGCCACGGAGACGGTTCATGTCATACGTGATGAGTACGGCGCAAATAGGCATGGTGGCATGATGTCCATGGGCTACGAGTCAGCGCCGGGTCGACTGGCCGACGCGACGACAGGGAAACCATTTGAAGATATCGCACAAGAGAACGTCCTCAGCGCTGCGGGTTGTGTTCTGTCTAACATGTTCCAAAACATGTTCTGCAATCCGGTCGACAGAGTGTAACAAAGATCTCATAGCCAACCCGAGCAAGTTTAGAGACTAAGGGATAAGTGCCTTCGCGCGTCGCTGAACTTCAAGCGCACCCTGATAAGGCTTTACCAATGTGTCATGCTCCACAACCACATTCTTAGACGGCACACCGGTGAGAGTAGTGGGCATGATGTGCTCAAGTTGGCTACAGCGGCAGCGACCACATTGTTCTCAGCGTACGTTGAAGTCAAGTTGTGAGGGAGCCCGCCGCTCACCGTGGGCTGATTGCCTGTGACCAGAGCGCGGAACATGCACCGAAACGTGTTCTGCGAGACATATCTCGCCGCCGTTGGGATTCTCTGCGGCGTACGCAGATAGTGACTGCTGTGGCCCAGTTACTGATCGCGGCCGCATATATGGGCTCCAATGTTCCAAGGAATATGTTCCGCAGAACATGGCGTCCAAATTACGCGTATTCATAGGGTCGCACACGATAAAAACACTCACCGATGATGGACTGCGCAACTTGGAGGGAGGATATAAGGCTGTGCGCGCCGAAGTGGGATGTTGCGAAGGCGAGGTAGTTTGAGGTCGTCTGGTTGTCTAGCGAGTACACGTACGACGCGAGTGCGATCCTGCATGTACCGGTCCTCTTCGTTCATTTTCCGAGCGACGTCCGCAGTATAGAGAAAGGAGACGCACCCTGTGAAGAGAGACCATCGCGATGTGCGGCCGAAGACATGCTTCGCGGCCTCCACGGCTCTAACGCCTGCATGTGCGTCCTCTTCGGCCTCGATCTCCTCGACTACTTCTGGCGCAAGACTTGTGACTGTTATTGAAGATGTTGTGAGCACTGAGCGGCTCCTGCGGTCGCCCACTGTTGCACACGCGGACTGGAGTCAGCCGTCGCAGCCGAGAGATGGAGGATGAGCACACTGACCAGGTGAGGGCGACTGGGGCACGAGCGAGTACCCGCGGCGCGTCATGGGCGGTCGGGGCGGGGGACAACAGCTAGTCGTCGACGGTGAGAAGAAGGATGTCGAGGGAGGGCGCCATGGGAGACGAGTCGGACAGGGTAATTAAGTTGGGACCGCAACGGAGGCGCGGACGGAGAGAGGGAAGAGAGATGCTCGATGCGGGCTAGCCCGGCAATCTTATCAGATACCGCTTACCCCGCTTATTCCGATCATCTCGACCCTCGCGCCCTCCTCCTGCCGCTTTCAGCCCGCGGTCGTGCGGAGTCGTGCGGCCGCCTCGCCCTGTGCAGATGTTCCACGGCAAGACATGATGCATGACTCCAAGGCACATGTTTCGGAACACATTCGGCCGCTGAGACTCACTCACGCATGCACACAACGTTGCAACTTTGTCTGTGCAATCATGAGTGCGACGTTACTGAGCAAGCACCCTTGCTCTCCGAAGTTAGGATAGACACTGAATAGACATGTACACTTCTATAGTACTGTACCCCGGCGAGTAGGGATACACAACAACACAAACAGAGACCCCTGCGTCAACGCAACGGGGTCCTACCAACCCTACTCTCCCCCGAGCCTCACCCAGCCTTCCGGTCCACGACCTCCACGACGACCCTCCCAACACACTCCCCGCTCTCCCTCACATACACACCCACCTCGATCTCCGCGACGTCCACGCCCGCCGGCGTCCCCGACAGCTCGACGACCCGCCGCTCCGCGCGCGTGCCCATCCCGCTCGGCACCGCGTCCACATTCGCGCGCATGTACCGCGGCAGCGGCTTCCCCGACACCAGCCGGACGTCCAGCTGCGCCGCCTTGCCCACTGGGACCGTCGTTGTCACGCGGTACCGGAAGCGCTCCCCGACGCGTGCGAGCATGCGCGGGGTGGGCGCCGCGCCGTCGTGGCCGTGCTGCGAAGATTCGAGCGACGAGAATGAGGGACCGGGGGATGCCGCCTCGACTGTCGCTGCAGTCACGATCAGCGTCAGAAGACATAGAAATATGGAGCGGACGTACCTCTGGAGGCCAGACTACGGCCGTCATCGCCTAGAGCACGCACGTACTCAATGCCCGCCCTCAGCTCATCCGTGCTCTCCGCCGGAGGCCCAGTGCCCGCGACGTTCCTGAACACCTTCGCCATCTGGCTCGCCACCCTCTTGGGCGGATCCGCCGGGCTGCCGCTCTCCAGCGGCTCGTTCGGGTCCGGCGAGAAGAACGACGAGGGCAGTTTGGGCACCGGCACGCGCGCCGCGTTCGTGAACTGCACGAGCCGCGGGCGCCCGCCCTCCGGGGCAGGCCCGGACTGGAACGAGAGCGCGCTGACCGCGCTCCGCACAGACACCGCGCGCGCCGCGTGCGTGACGACCGCCTCCGTCTCGTGCGTGCGCGTGCTCGAGCTCGTCGCGAACGACGACGCGAACGACTTCATGCTCTGCCGGTTGTCCTTCGCGTGCGCGAGCGGCGGCGTCGTGAGCGCGCGGGGCGCCGCGAAGTCCGCACGGCGGCGCGGGACGGAGCGCGCGTCGGTCGAGGAGGACGGCGAGTCGATGAGGGACGTGAGCCCGCTTGGGGCGTACCTCGACCCGTCGAAGTGCGGCAGGTCCGGGATGCTGTCGTTCGTCACGGGCAGGCCGTCGATGTTCGCCAGCGCGCTCGCGCGGTTGTCGCTCGTCATGATCAGCGTTGGCTTCCCGATGACGGGGCGTTTGGGGCCGCTCACCACCCGCCGGTACTTGTCGCTCACGATGCGCGCGGTGTTCCGAATCTTGCCTAGGAACTCGACCTTCTTCATGACGCCGGGGCTTTGCGGCAGGCTCGTGAGGCTGAGAGGCGACCGCGCGTCCGCGACACGAGGGGTATTTGACAGCGTGCGCGTGAGGACGCGGGATAGGGTGGCACCGAAACCCGTCTCCTTGCCTGGCGAAGAGGGCCCAGCTTCCTCGTTCCAGCCGTACCCGTTTTCTGATTTGGGCCCGATGTACTGCTCGCCGTCCACTTCGATGCCGATCCCGTACCATCTCATCTCCGCGTCGGTCCATGCGCGCTGCGCTTCAACGCCAACAATGGCGGTATCCGCTACATGCGTGCATCGGCGGAGGACAGCGAATGCGATGGCGATGGCCACGAACGCGCTGATGATCCCAAACGCGATCTTGAGCCCGAGCACCAGCTTCGCACGCGAGGCAGTAGACAGACCGCCGGTCTTGTTGTGCTGGTGAGAGTAGTCGGACGTCGACAGCGAAAGCGGTAGATTGGTGTGCGACGTGGAATGCGTGAGACGCGAGTAGGCCGTGAAGGTGACAGTGATATGAGGGTACGAGATTCCCGACGGGACGGTTCCAGCTAGCTGACCAGAGCTCGAGTCGAAGTTCAGATAGTCGCCAGCCTCAGATGGGTCGTACGTAGCCGTGAGGTTTACACCCGAGTTCTCGTCGCCCAGACCACTGCTGTTCGAAAAGTACTGCACCAAGTCAAACGAGAAGGCATTCCCGGGGTCGACCAGAACGGGCTGTAGGTTGGGCGTAGAGAAGAAAGACGGCACAGCTGCGATAGCCACGTTTGTCTGCAGGGTTTGGTTGACCGAGGACGTTAGACTGACAGGCAGGACTCCGCTGACGAAGTCCGAAGGAGGCTGTCCGCTGAGGGTCTTGCTCGTCGCGTTGTACTGAAGCCAGCTTTCCAGCCCAGACGTGTCGATGTCCAGATCAGTGATATTCGAAGGTGCCAGAGGTTGGCCGTCAATAAGCACCCCAGAGAAGTCCGCCGCAGAGTTAAGTGTGAGTTGGAATTGGGCGTCCGCAGTGACATTGATCGTCGGCAAAGAGAGGGTCGCGGAAGTCATGTCATGAGCAGCCACCACCAGATCGAACGGTATAGTCGCCGCAGAGTAACCCTCCTGATCAGACGCGTGCAGGACAAGTGAGACGATGTAAGGCAGAGTGAGCTCCTCAGGTCGAGGTGTAACGCCGCCGAACGTCATCGCTTTCTCGTTGAATTTGACCCATTCGGGCATAGGGGAACCATCTGCTTGAGTCGCCGCGTAGTAGAGACTATTTGGCGCGGTGAATGTGTTGTACTGGAAGCCGATGCTGTACGACCACTTCGGAGGCACGCGGAGGGCTGGTCTCGCGTTATAGAGGGCTGAGTTGTTAGGTACAAGAAAGACAGATGATAGTGAGGGATTCTTGTCCGTAAATTGCTCTTGGACGGGGATGTGGAGCTCTGGCGGGGGATAGGGCGTGACGCAGAGGGTAACAGAGGACGAAGCAGAATCGTCAGAGTTGGGGTCCTTTGCGATTACGGTGATCCGTGGCGACCCCTCATCATCTGGTCCAGGTGTTCCATTCAAGGTGTGGGTCCCCGGGTCGAATGAAAGCCAGGCCGGCAGAGAGGATGCTGCATATGTGAGCGTCGCGTTAGAAGGCGAAAGGAATGTACTGTTAGGTATTGTCCATGTGAAAGGAGTGTGTATGCGCGCTATCGGGGGCAGCTGGTCGTCGAGCTTGTAAGAGACCAAGACCGAAGGCGATGCATTTGCCAAAAGCGCAGCGAGGAGGACCGGGAGGCAACGAATGGGGAGCATAGTGATGAGCTGGGAAGGCTGAGGCACGCGACAAGAGTCGACCAGCGACCTCGAATCAACCAAGTAAGGAGAGTGTGAGGTACGGCGTAGAGACAGGCGTCGATGTCGAGGCCACCAGCGAGCGGGTCGACGAGAACAGCGAGGGAGGGAGGAAGAGAGGCGAGACGAACTCTAAATCCCGCCAAACAACCCACTCAACGCCGCCACGTGGGTTAGACGCCCATTCCCGTAGATCAAACTTCAAATTAGGGGTGCTCAATTCTCGCCGTTCGTTCGCTCGTTCGGGCGCTACGTGGGCGCTACACCTACGCGGTTCAGACTCCGCCCAGCACAGTGTCGAGCGTCGTGCTTCGTCGCAAGTGTTGCTAGCACCAAGATGCTCTCTGTGATCACTTCATGGACGATAAACATAGTACTGTATACAAGATGCTGGGGGAGGAGGTTCGGTTCGGGTACTACGCATGGGCCAATATCACGGACCTGCTCCCAGTCGGGCGCTTCTTTCGCCGCAAGCTTTGAAGTACTAAAGCAGCCACAAATGGCAAAATTTATGTGAATCTTCTCTAGATACAGTCAGGCATTTCGTGGCCTGGCCAAGCTGCCGTGTACTTGCAGGAGTACCGCTGACGAGCATGTACGTGCGCAACGCTCGACACTGTGCTGGGCGGAGTCTGAACCGCGTAGGTGTAGCGCCCACGTAGCGCCCGAACGAGCGAACGAACGGCGAGAATTGAGCACCCCTAATTCTTTCGTTTTCGCAACCTTCACTTCTTGTAGCCTGTGTGAGCGTCGACGCTAATAAGCCGTATTCAATGCTCTCTAAAACAACAACCTTAGCTTGGGCCGTCAACCTCTCAATAGCTAGTTGGCGATTAATCGACGTCAAGTACTGGAAGGTACGTCTTAGCTGTCTTGTTCAGCACCCCATTTAACCTGCTAAATCTCTGACTATTTCAGGTGCACCATGGCACTGGTTGAGCACTTCAACTCCATTCTCGCGCATGGACCGAACGAGCTCTCGCGTAAGTATGCCCGAATCTGTGCGCAAGCCGCAGTAGAACACACAAGCTTGCAGCCGCGGGCTTCGTCTTTGGTGATGTAATTGATCGACTTCAGCAGGGCGGATCGGGCGGGAGAATTTCAATACCCGTTCCACCGCTCGGAGGTGATACAATATCCTAGCGGATCCGGAGTACTTGACAGTCGACGTGCTACCTAATCGAGGAGCTCCAGGTGCGAAACAGTACTGTACTATATGCCCGTCAACGCTCCAGCTAAAGCTAAAGGCTTTACGTATGCGTATACGAACAATTCGCCATCGTGTCGCTTTCTCGTTTCTGCTGCACTTCCTCGACATCCATCGTGCTCGTCGCCGCGGCCACCGGGTTCAGCAGACGCAGCCAGCGTGGAGCCGCCGCATCACGCAACCCACCGTTCGCCGCCCGATCCGCGCGCCCCGTGTGCGGGAACGTGAGTGAGAGGGGCGACGGTTGCGAACGACGTCAACACCGCCGTTCGGAAAGGTGGGTCGAGCAGTAGATCGTCGATGGCACGCACCCGCACCAGAGGACGTCACCTCCCGACACCTCCTCGACGTCATCTCCCCCTCAGCTTTCACGCGCACACCTTCACCTGGGGAGGTATATAAACTCGGAGGGCCGCTGCGCATCTCAGTCCCCATCATCCCTCTTCTGCCAATCGCCACCACCACATTCCATCACCACCCATCCACCAAGCACCCTCTTCGCCATGTCTAGCAACCGCAAGATCGGAGGCTTCAAGGTATGTCGAGGTCGTACACCGACGGTGTCGCGGCGGCGGATATCTGACGCGGTTATTGCAGGCCACCATCAACAACCCCAACACCTCCGAGGAGGCAAAGGAGCACGCACGCCAGCAGATCGGCGAGCTCGATGGCGAGTCTGAGCTCACGGACGCGCCGAACAGTGGCAACACCGGCCGCCACGAAGGCAATGAAGGCAAGGACGAGACCCGCCAGAACGCTGGCTTCAAAGGTGTCCTGAAGAGTGAGTTCTGTCCTCCTCTGAGAGCGCCTTCTTATTGACGTTGCATCTCTAGACCCCAACGTCGGTGAAGAGGCCAAGAAGCACGCTAAGGAGGTTCTGAAGGAGCGCGGCGCTATGTAAGACCATTGTGAAGTCGGAAATTGAAGGAAAAGAAGTTCAGAGTATTGTTGTACCATACTATATCTTGTAGTTTGTCGTCCGAGTCGTCTTCAATAGCCGTTGTTTGCATGTTTTGATTGACACGTTACGTCGCCATTGCGGCTATGCCTGCTATACAGTGGGTTGCAGCTGCGGCTTCGTCGAACGCGCCCAATCTTGCGAGATGTACGTGGCATAGAACTCGCGGTTGTGGTCGAGTATATCATTGAGCCTATGAATTGGTAACGCAGGAGTGGAACGAGAGATTAATGTCAAACCACGAGAGTCGGTACCCGCTTCGCATCTCGCAGATGATCCAGAGGACGCCTAGGTGGTGTTGTTAGTGACTCGCCGCCGTGTCGCACCGTTGTACCCCGGACGGCCTCGGCACCCGACTGCTCCTCGTCTGCGTCCACAAAAAGGCTAATAGGCGTAGCCAACGTGGAGTCGCCGCACCGCGCAATATCAATCCACCATTCGCCGCTCGATCCGCGAGCGCTGCGGGGCGGGCGGGAGAAGTGCCACTAACACTCTCATTATTACCCCGCGTTATACCGTGCGCGGCCTCCAACGCTCTGCTTCTGTCTAGAACAGATTGTGTTAGCAAACATAGCGCTTGGTCTGCATCGCTACGAGATTGTGCGACCAAACTCACCGTAAAAGCATGAGCGCTGCTGCCAGCGAGCGAGTGGCGGAAGGGAGTGGCGCTGCGGCTGGAAGCGATGACAGCACCGTCTTCCGCAAAAGGCAGTAGGGGTGGGTCTCGGTTGAACACTAGCATCGTTAACGAGTATCCCTGGATTGCGATCCGCACGGCAAGCGTCACCTTCCCGTCATTCCAACGTCATATCCCCTGCTCCTGCAAGCGTGATAGCGCGCGAAGGGTCGAGGTATATAAACCCGGGTGCTCGTCCAGGGAGTCATCAACACAGCTCTTCCTCGTACCACTGGTACCATCACCACCGCCATCCACTTAGCCAAGCACCATATTCGCAATGTCCACCACCCGCCAGATCGGAGGCCACAAGGTGTGTCGATGTGTTCCTCGCCAACGCTGCAGCGACCGTTTACCGTGTACCGCCGCTGTCTTTACAGGCCGCCATCAACAACCCCAACGTCTCTGAGGAGGCAAAGGAGCACTCCCGCCAGGCGATCGACGCGCTCGAGGACCAGTCCGAAACCCAGGAGATTCGCGCAAGCCATGACGAGGGCAAGGACGAGGTGCGCCAGAACGCCGGCTTCAAGGCTACGCTGAAGAGTGAGTCGCTGTACGCGATTGGGGCACTCCGGGAGCTGACCGTGTACGTTCGTAGACCCCAATGTCAGCGAGGAGGCCAAAGAGCACGCCCAGCAGGTCTTGGAGGAGCGCGGCGCGATCTAAAGGAAGCCTGACTGCAGTGAAATGAGATGGAAGAGAAGTTTTCCGTATCGTTGTACTATATCTTGTATCCCGCAGCGTAACCGCTCCGTATCGAAGCGTCTTCGTGGTCTATAGCCACAGAGTTCCCCGCCCTCGAGCGGTTCCGTCGGCAGAGGAGGACGATGTTACGATTATTGCTTTACGCTTGTTCGCCGTGTATCTACATCCAACCAGAACAGAGTGTTTCAGGGATATATGTTCGGAAGCACTTACTTGCGCTCGCCCTGGTGTATAAACTCCCAACACGCCTTCCCCGGCTCGACGCCCAAGATCTCCTGCACCTGCCCCAAGCCCAGCTCACACAGCTCCGCCACGCTCTTCACCCGATTCATCACATGCTTCACGTTCTTCGCCGTGACGCCCGGCAGCGACCGCAGCAGCTCCTCCGCCGCTGCGTTCACGCCCGCGCCTGCGTCCGGGTCCTCCTCCGCGCCGACGAGCACGGCCTTGCCCGGATCCGGCTGCGCCATGTTCGTCTTGAGGTCGTTGAAGACCTCCGCGGTCGCGAAGGGGGAAGACGACCAGAGGATGCGCACGCGCGGGAAGGTGAGCGTGAGCAGTACGAGCTTCGACTGGATCGACTGCGCGGCGGAGGATGCGGGCGCATCCCCGGGCTTCTTCTTTGGGGGAAATTTGTTCGACTTCGCGTACGATTTCACGTCGGCAACTGCCTGCAAGGAATATTAATGTCAGCGTATGAGCATGCACGAGAAGAGAAGTTGCGTACCTCAAGAGAGAAGGACTTATGTTCCTCAAACTCAATGAGTAGGATCGGCTGCTTGTAGTGCGCGGACATAAGCTCGCATTGCGTGTAACTGCGGATATGTCAAAAAATTGGCCAGTCGAAGAAGAAAACATGCATACAGTCGGCCACTGCTGAAACTTGAAACCAAATCCGGAATGCTCTTGCGCTCGACACAGATGTCCGGCGTCAAGATATAATCGCCGACAGTGAGCGTCACCGGAAGCACGAGCAGCCCGGACGCATGCAACAAAGACGGTAAGGAGGAGCGGAACTCGCGCATGTCGACGATGACCTGTGAAAGCGGCTCAAAACGGAGCGCCAGTGGGCGTAGAGAGCGGAGGGACATACGCGTGCAGGTTCCGTGCTCACTTCCTTCCTCCCACCCGCTATGCGAGTAGAAATGGTCTTGATGAGCGCCTCGCCGGCTGCCGAGGTGCGGTCCTCGAAGATCGGCATGAGCATGGTCTGCACGTCGTCCAAGTCAGTACGGTGCACGACGATCGCAGGGGAGACAACTTCATACCCCGCGCTCTCTGATGAGCCTCTCAAACGACTCTTTCTCGCGGCGCAGGCCGGTGAGGTACTTGCCCTCTTCGCAACTCATCTTGTACATCATGAAGTACACGCGCACCCCAAGGCCCGGATTCGAGTTCCTGTAAACCTACACCATCGCGCCGCGTTAGCATTCTCTACGACTGACAGGCAGCAGCGTGCGGGGCATACCTCGATGCGCCGGATGAACTCGAGGTTAGGCTCGTACATGACAATGAAACGCGGCTTGACCTCTTGCAAGACCTGGTCGTCTGTATCGTCTGCATACGCGCGCACGAGCACCGTCTGCTCGGGTGCGAGCAGTCCGTAGTGCGCATCAAAGTCGTCGTCCATCGTAAATAACGGCACGTCCGATATGAGCGCTTCCGCCGCAGCGTCGACGCCCTGCGTAGATAGGCTGTATGTGCGGACGGAGGTCAGCAAGTGTCCAGCGTGTGAGACGTGATGGCAGGGGGCGTACAAGTCTGCGATGTCGTCCGCCTCCTGCTTGACCACAACCTCGCCGAGCGGCCCACTGGCAGTCCGGTCCCTTGTAGGCGCAGGTGTAGCAGGTGCACCCCCACGAATCCGCCGTCGATTGTTCGCACGCTCCAGCCGTTCCTTGTCCTTCCGCTTCAGCGCTTCGCTCACGCCGTCGTCTACTGCTGCGCCCCTACCAGCACCCGGGGCGGACTTGTCTTTGGCTTGTGGTAGAGCGAAGTGGCCCCTTCCTTCCGCCCGGCGTTCCGAGAGCTTGCCTTTCCACCAGAGGTACAGCCGGAGCTTGTCCTCCATCATGCGTCGCCCCTGCGAGCCGCGCGGGGCGTCCGCCTTCATGGTGGCCAGAAAATCTTTGATCAGCGTGCACGTGTGCAGGGAGGAGGCCATGATGAGTACTGTGTTCGTCCCGGGGGATTCTGCGGAGCGCGTGAGCAAACTGGAGGTGGCACAGGGAGGAAAGGCATACGGGAGGAAAGGAGGGGTGCGAGCCTGATCGCCTCCCCCTCGATCTCGTGCAGGATGTCGGCGAGGAGATACCACTTGGGCAACTCTTCGAGGACGGGCTCCATGCCCTCCGGAAGCCACTTCTTCCTCGGGGCCTTCGCTTTCTCCTTCCCCTTATGACTCGGACCGGCCTGGCTTCTTGGCCGACCCTCCACCTCGTCCAGCGCTGCCCACGCCTCGTCGTCGTCGTCAGCTAGGTTGATCACCTGCGCAGCTGCCTTGGGCACGGGATTCATCACATAGCAGCGGCGCTTCGCATACGTGAAGATCGTGTGAGCAGCGTCGGTGAGCATCCAGGGCGACTGGTGCTGGCGTGCAGAGCCGGAGTCGGCGGTCGTGTTTGCAGCGATCAATGTCTCAAGGTACGCGTGAAATGCGAGGGCGTCGTATGTGAGCAGGTACGTGAGCAGCCGGCGGAGTGTCGCAAGGTCGCCAACGAGTTGCTTCGTGCGTGGGCCGACTTTATGCCAGACGGGGTCGAGCATGCGTCGGACGATCATGTCAAACGAGCGGAAGTAGGCGTTGTCGATCGATAAGTCGTCTAGGTCCAGCTGAAGCGGAATGCGTGGGAGGTCTATCGAATGAGAATGGGCGGAGCACGTACCGTGCTGTTCGCGCGCTTGAGCTCGGCGAGCGTCGTGGTCATACACTGCACAATCCCGTGGTGGATTTCGGCCATGCCCTCTGTCATGTCCTGGTGCAGCTCGACGATGTCGGGGGTTTTTCGATCGAGCGACTCCTTAATATCCGCGTGAAAGCTACAAGTCGTAAGTAAAATATGCAAGACTCGGGTGCTCGTTAGGGGTCCTACCGGGGATAGATGTGAACTGTCCGAAGCTGAAGTTCCTTCATGATGGTTCGTAAAGGAGACAGTCCGCTAGTGATGTGTTCAGGCTGGTCGGAGAACGCCTTGAGGAAGCCATTCTTGTTCTTCTCGCGGTATAGACGGACAATGAACGCTTCTGCTGCCGTCGGCGTCACTCTGCGTATATCATCAGTATAGACGGCAAACCTATATGCGGTCAAAATATTACCTCTCTGAGTGCAAGACGAGTATTCCCGTGATTAGGTGAGTCGGAATGTCGGACGTGAGCATGTCGACGGTGAAAATCTGCGAGGTTATGGACACAAGTCCGCCCTTCTTGTACAAGTCCTGTCTGTACGTTTACGATGAGCAACGGTCTTCTACTAGGTGCTCTGGGCATGAACTTTGACTAGTCGGTGAGACAAATATGCAACCCTGTCCATGCGGCCAACTAGCGGCAGTACATGGTATTTAATCGTGGGTCAAATTTCATCTCACAGGTAGAATGGGCGCTCGCAGCACTGGCTCAGAGGATTACTGCAATATGGGTCAAGAATGGGAGCGGAATCTGTGTAACGCACACAGTCGAAATTATCACAACTTCTACCCAGAAACATCGCAGCAGCCTTTTGCATTTTGCCCAGAACATAGGATAACTCACCTGTCCTTTCTGCCCGTCTCGAAACCGACAATGCGTAGGCCGGGGTTCCTACAACCCATGATGCCAAGCTCTTCGCCGATAGCGGCCTCTTCTTCTTGAGTCGCATTCACTAGGAGGATAAGGTTGTTGGGCGAGTCGTATATTTGCAATAGCTTGCAGACAATACGGCGCAGCCCTAGGCCACGGGCGATGAGGACAAGTTCGGATGTTGCGGGATCATGGATCTTCTCTAGGATAGACTTGTGGAACGGAAGGAGGACAGACATCTTGAGATGGTACTGGCAAGAGTTTTGAAGTGTTGTTCATTGCACGCTAGCATACGGATGATCTACAAGTTTGCTTGGAGCCGGTGCATCAAGTCATGGGCAGAGGAGTGAAAGGCAGAGGACTTCAAGACCCGCTCGCGAGACTTATTTAGGGACTACACCAATTATAAAGGGCTGACTTCCAAGTAAAGCACGAGTGAGGCTCCGATCAAAGCATCGCTTAGAAAGTGCTCAAAATGAAAGCTGACGCATTAGCGTTATGTAAGCTTGTACCAGTCCGCGGCCCAGATCCTGATTCCTGACCTCGACAACTTGAGCTCAACGTCGAGGACGTCCCTCTCAGTCTCCGCTTTCTGTGTTACTCTGGCTCATGACTCTTGGCCTACTTTACTGTTAATCTGAGAACATGGCTACAACTACCGCGTCAAGACAGGCCTCACATCCCTCAAGGCGAACAAATCAATCCGTCTCATCCAACGCCTCTGCTTCGTCTTCGCGCAGCGAACGATCACGCCCACCACCTAATGTGAGTCTACCTGCAGCGTATACATATACTGTCTGTCCCATGGGAAAGTCGAGCTGCTGGAACAGGGAACATGGGTGTAGGGATAACGGGTGCATCTCTGGAGTGGTGTGATTGAAGTCAACATGCTGAATGCGTCGTTCCCACTTCGTCCAGGCCACCATGGCCCGTAAATGACGATGAAGTTGGCCCGTATTGCTTTCCTTCGTCAAAACAACTTCCCATTTCATGGGAGCCATCGTACTGACATCCTCCGCAGCCAGCCGTCGAATCCGCCGTTACGCGGCTTCTGGTCTCCATCAAAGTCCTCCTCGAGTCTCTCACACAATGGAGCAAGCAGATTGTCGACGAAAACTATGTCAGCGACGTCTATGTCCGCCTCGGAAACGACTTTAACTCGGCTGTGGCGGCGTTCGGGGCGTTTAGCATCGATATGAAGTGAGTGGCAAAGCCTCGTTGCACCGGCACCTCTTTTACACCACAACAGCGAGCTCTCGTCCGTCCCAGACGACCTCCGCGAAATCCTCGAGATGTGCCTATCTGAAGACGCCAATCCGGAGAATCTGGAAAAATTCCTGCCCCGAGTGCGCAAGATTATCACCCAGCTGTTACAAGGTCTTCGTGCGAAGCAGTCCATATACCGGCGCATCGTACAAGATCACAAGCAGCGCCCCGACGGAGGCAGTGATCGGGACTCGCGCTCGTCGCGTTCGGAACGCGTCAGAGAGGAGAGCGTGCCGCCCCGTCCGTCCTCGCGCGGCCCGAACGACACCCCGGCGCGCAGCAAGACGCCTTCGTCGCGGCGAAAGCCGTCCAGCTCGGAGAACGTACTCCCACCCGTGCCAAATGGGACATCGGAGCAGCCCTTCGTCGGCGGGTTTGCGGCTCCTCCGACCATAGCGAGCGCACTCAGCGCGGACAGCGAAAATGTACGCCAACGGTCATCGACACCCGCGCAGCCGCGTCCTTCGATGGCCCAGGCGAACAGTTTCCCTCTGCCCCGCGCGTATTCTACCTCCTCGGCCGACCCGATGTTTCCCCGCGACCCACGACAACAGACGAACGGCTTCGCGTCTCCCGAGCCACCCCAACCACGGCCACCCTCAGTTCAGGCTCCCGTTCCCGGGCACGTCAGGCGCTTCTCGTTGGTCGACGGACCTGTGCCTCCACCCCCTGCTGTGCTCGTCAATGACGCCACGCCTGTGTCTCCGCCTCCTCCCGAGGACATCTCAGTGCCCGGCACACCCTCAACGGAGAACACCCCCATGGAGCCGCCTCCACCCGCGGTGCAGAACTCGCTCGCGGCGCTCAAGAAAGCGGAGGCGCTCGAACGTCGGGCGAGCAAGCGTTTCTCGACGTACAATATCTCGAAGATGACGGGGGTACGCGACCGAGGCGGAGGTGGTAGTAGTAGCGGTGGCGGGAATCGTCGCTCGCTGATCGCCACCGCGGGGGCGCTCACGCCGGGAGATCTCGCAGCGCTGGCCGAGGAGGGCGACACCGCAAGTCCGCGCAAGAGCCGCGACCGGAATCGGAGCCAGCGCCGCGGCAATCCTCCGTCGATCGTCGAGGGCGAGGAACCACCACCTGTTCCACCACTTCCACCCAAGTCGGTGTCGCCGCAGCCCGGTGCCGAGTCTGACGCGGCGGGGCGTTCGACACCCCAGCTGCCAGAGATTGGCGAGACAACGAAGGTGGCGGCATCTACTCCAGAAGTGCGGATATCGACCGCGGAGTCAACCGAGAGCGCCGACTCAACAGGCAAGCCCTTCCCGGTGTTCTTGCAGGTCGGGCGGGAAGTCAAGAAGGTCGTCATCGAGCCAGGCCTTTCGCTTGCGAACTTGCGACTGCTGTTCGTGGACAAGTTCTCGTACAGCCCCGGACAGGACAACTTCCCCGCGATCTACATCCGTGACCTATCAAGTGGAGTGCAGTACGAGCTGGAGGATGTCGACGAGGTGAAGGAGAAGGTCATGCTATCACTGAACATCGAACGTGAGTGTTCTACGACTGCATGGTGAGAGCACAGCTTACGGTTTGTGATATAGCGCTCGACCAGATCAAGCAGCACATCGACGTGCAGATATCGTCGCTGCAGCAGGACATCAAAGATCTGCGCACGGCCGTCGTCAGCAATCGTCGACAGTCTACCATCATCACCCAGCCCCTCGCGGAAAGCACACCTATCGCGCCGCGGCCGTCAGAACAGCGCTTCCGCGATGTCGCTCGTCGGATATCGCGGCTCATCCCCGAGAACTCCGCCCCTCACATCGTGGGTCGCTCGCCGAGCCCTGCCCCCATCGAGCCGCAGTGGACAGGCTCGACGATGCTCCAGATGCAGTACACCGGGTCGACGCTGCAGCCGCAGATGACGGGCGCGTCCGAGTACACGACACGGGTGGTGAGCGACCTGAAGACGCAGTTCGACGAGGTGCAAAACCTGCGACGCGACCTGGGCATCATGCGGCAGCTGTATACCGAGTTCATGAAGCAGACGAAAGAGAGCCTTGGGACGCTGCGGCAGCAGACGCAGACGGTGAAGCAGCTGTCGACGCAGCAGGTCGGCGGCGCGCGCGCGTACATCGACACGGGCAAGGGCAAGCTGGACACGCGCTCGCAGAACGTGCTGACGCGGATGGAGGAGCTGCAGGACACGGTGGAGAACATCAAGGACGACGTGCTGAAGCGGAACGTGTCCCCGAAAGCGTTCCTGCTGAAGAACGTCAAGGGCGACATCGACGCGGTCGCGGGGGAGCTGCAGAGCCTCAAGGACCACATCCAGACTATCAAGCCGATGTGGAAGAAGACGTGGGAGGAGGAGCTGCAGAACATCGTTGAGGAGCAGCAGTTCCTGCAGCACCAGGAGGAGTTCCTGGAGGACCTGTTCGAGGACCACAAGGCGGTGCTGGAGGTGTTCGGGCACGTCGAGAAGGTGATCTCGCTGCGGGGCGCGTCGTCGACGAAGCGCCGCGCGCCGACGTTCCGGCCTGCACCGGCGGAGGAGGCGCAGGGCGGGCTGAGCACGGTGATGCTGGAGATCCGGAGCGCGGCGGTGGACCCGGAGCGGCGGCTGAAGGCGATTGCGGCGAACGAGAAGAACCGGGAGCGGGAGATGTCGACGCGGACGGACGAGTTCCAGTCGGAGCTGAACGGGTTCGTGGCGGGGAAGAAGCTGCGGATGACGGGCGGGGCGGAGGAGGTCGAGCGGGTGCGGAAGCGGCGGGACGAGCTCACGCTCAAGGCGATGTTCACCGGCGGCAGCGGGGCGGCTGCCGCCGGTGCGGGGCCTCTCTCGCCGCTCGTTGGGTCGAGCTCGGGATTGCCATCTCCCAGGCCGACCTCGCCCTCATTGCCTGAGCCGCCGGCGGGAGAGACGGGCGACGGCTCTGGAGCGAGCGAGCCGTTGTGAGGCATACCTCTTCGAGTTCAATGATACCCTCCTTCGAACTATGTACTGATATGTTTATTTCGTGGACGTGCTCGTGTACAGATCCCCGCTATAATCCGCGTGTCGCGTCGCGTCGCGCATTCGCCACCAAGTGCAGAGCGCTGTTGAAGTTCGCATCCACATTCACTTATTTCTCCACAAGTCTGTAGATTATCCGAACATCTATCTACGAATAGCGGTAATTGACAGTCTTTTATAAGACCTCCTTCTTCGAACTTCATCCACAGGACACTCCGTGGAAACAAATCGAAACATTTCTCCTCCTGGGCCATATTCAGTGCCGCGGCGCTTGCAGTCAATCTGCCTCGCGCAGCCGATCTGGGTTTCCGGGAGTGCAGACAACACCACATCTTGCTTTCTCTTTCTAGCTAGAGTCTTCGACAAGCACACCGAGTTCGTTAGAGAGACACCGAAAACCCACAGCCAAAAATCAATTGCACGTTACAAAGCCCAGACCGACAGGGATAACGGAGCAGCACAGCAGAGTACAGCAGATACAAGTACACGAGCAGGAGGGCGACAACAAGACAGCACAGAGCTAGCAATACAAGTCCAGACCACAGCGACGCAACTTCAGAAGAACAGCACAATACACATCTCAAAACAACGAAGCGACCAATCTATCCAACATAAACGCACAAAACAAAACGACGGATGGCCCAATGAAGCCGGAGGAGCCCAATCCTTCGCCGCTTGGGTGACCCTCACGCTTAGATACAGGCTCGGGCACATGGCCACCCGTTCTTCTCGAGCGCGCGTTGGCACGGTTGGTTGGCGGCGGCGGAGGCGTCGGGGAAGATGCTTCCTCGTCACACTGGTACCCGTCGTCGACGGAGGAGTCTCCTGAGGAGAAATTAGGGACTCCGCCACCAGAGGGGCCGGCGTGAGGAGTGCAGGAGGGAGCAGTAGGCTTGTGTGAAGCTCCGGTAGGCTGTGAGACACGAGGCTTCGCCGCACTGTGCGAGGCCTGAGTGCCCTCCTTTGCGTCCTGGCCTTTCTCGGGTTTGAGCTCGGCCGACTCAGCCTGGGTCTAGAGGAGATAGTTGTCAATGACCAAGAAAAAGGACACTTGAAATTACAGTGCTACGCACCTTCGGATTGACACGCTCCGTGTGTCGACTTGGAAGGGACCGGATTGGCCTGTCAGTGTATGGCCGGGGCGGCGTCGAGCCAGCCTCAATGCCAACGTTGACCAGGTCAGTCTGACATGAGGCGTCCCGGCGGCTTGAGGAAGACCGGCCACTGCGCTCTGGGGACGTCTGCACACCCAAGTCCGAGGTCTGCACACCGCATGCCTTCAGCTCAGGCTCACAAGGGGGATCAGTCTGCGTCGCCTGCTCTTGTCGAGGAGCTATCACAGAGCGTGCGGGACTGGTGTCGCTCTGCAGAAATGGAATAAGGCAGTCAGCAACATACTAATTATCAGCACTAGCATCGAGTACGCACCTCAGCTTCCGATTCCGACTCCGAATCCGTACAGCTCTCGCTTGCGATCATCTCAGCAACCACAGCCGCGGGGAGGTTCTCGACTAGCTGCCGTCGTACTTGACGAGCAGGCCTCGTTTGCGCAGTACGCTGCTTCCTGGAGAGCTTGACGTACGGCGCCGCTGGCAAATAGCGGGGAAGGGGACCACCAAGAACATAGCGGTGCACCAGTCGCCGCGGAGAATCAGAACGAGCCGCACGTGGGGAGGAAGGTGGCGAGGGTGAAGTCGATGATGCCAGAGGGGAGCGTTGAACACTTGCCGACTCGGAGTCGGTAGTGACAGTTTCTCGCGGCAAGGGCACGTCGGGCTGCTGCACAAGTTCAGGCTGTCCCAACTGTTCGTCTGGCGGGGAGTCACGCTCCGGAGTGGAAGCTTGGTCGGTCTCGGCCGATGGATCAGGATTGACGAGATCGCCCACGGAGGACTGCTCGGGCGTAGTCAAGGAGAAAGAGGGTAGGGAAGTTGAATCGGCCTCCTTGTCCTGGGCTTCCTCAATCTCCTGTGCGTCTGCCCCCTTCGTCGCTGTAGTGTCGGCACTAGGCTTAGCCTCTTCTGCTTGTGTACAGGTAACAGTGTCGGCGCTACTAGGCTCAGCCTCAGTAGATGCCGGGGACGCCACAGCCTCGTCGTCGGCCGTAGGGACGCATGCGATCTCAAGCGGATCGAGCTCGGTGACACTGTTCGCCGACGTTGTTTGAGCCTCCGTCATCACGGCGCTGGCAGCATCATAGTGCGTAACGGCAACGCTGTTGGGGAGGACAGGAGGGTCCTGGGCCGGAGATGGTGGTGGGCACTGAGGTTCTTCGAGACTTCCGTGCGCGGACTGCAGTTCTGGATCCTGCTCAGCCTCTTCAGCTGCCACAACATTGTTGGGCGAGGCTTCTTGTTCGCGGATGACAACCGCCGTTGGCGAGACCTCTTCTGGGGAAGAGGTGGCGACCGTAGTGGTAGGGTCATCCGCAGGAGATGAGACCAGGGGTTGAGCGTCCGAGTCATCCAGAGTCTCGTCGGTGTGGTGCTCGTCATCCGGCGCCCGGTTCAAGTCGGAGGTATCTTCACCAACAACGTCGTCCATGTCGCCATTAGAACTCGCGAGCGTCCGATCGACCGCTTCGGAGTCGGGGCGGACGATGTCGACCATCGGCTCGTGCTCGTGCTCGGAGAACACGTGGGGCGCGGACGCCATCTCGCTGTCCAAGAGGTCTAGAAAGTCTTGCGTCAGAGACGTGATCCGAGACATCAGTGTCGAAGAACTTCACACTCACCAAAGGGCTGGTCTTGGACGTCACATGCCAGCAGCTGGTCCACGGTCTTCATAGCTTCTTGCAACTCGGACATGATATCCACGCCAGCTGGCGAGTTGGCGAAAGACGGCACTACCAACACCTGCATGGCCTGCTCAACAAGAGCCATTTCAGCGTCCTCCGATTGGGCGATATTACCCCCGGATGCTGAGTCGGCGTGTTCGCCCCCAACGCTTGATTCGACCTGCATGTCTTGGTTAGGTGCAGGCGATGGAAGAACGGCTGCCTCGCTGTAGACATCGCTTGTAGAGGCGTCGACCTCGGCGGACATCTCCACTTCACCATCTCCGCGATCGACCGTCGAAGCCGATGCTGCGGGGGGATCGTCGTTTGGTCCTGCGCGAGGGATTTCCACTGCGTGGTACTGCAGCAGGGTGAGCGCGGCCTCCTCTTCTTCACGTCGTCTCGGCTCCTCTGCCAACGGGGCAGGCGTGAAGCGGCGTTCGCATGCTGCTACAGTCTGAGAGAAACCTTGATAGGTAGGCTCCTTGTTGTGGGCTGGCACACCTGCATCTGCCGCCGGCTGCTGTGCCAGAGCTAAGAGGTTGAATGCAGTAGCGCGGCGCGAGACAGCGTCCTCCGGATCCTGGTCTTCCGAGTAGAACGAGATGCACGAGCTTGCTGGACTCGAGGCTTCTTCGGTACTCACTGACTCGGGGGTTGGCGAATTGTCGGCAGGTGAGAGAGGCTCCGGCTCCGGTAGCGGCTCTGACTGAGGCACTGGTGCTGACTCGATAATGCCAGTGCCGTCGCGGGGGATGACTGCTAAGCCCGGAGTTCGGGTCATGCCAATCCACCCTAGGCCTTCCGACCCCAGAGCACCAGAGAGAGCAGAGAATGAAGAGACGAGGACCGGAGGAGGAGTGGGGGGCGTCGGGTGCGCAATCCTCTTGGGCAGTGGGCGCGATGGGCGTGGCTCCCTGGGTTCGACCGCACGTGCGAGCCTCTTTGGCAGCGGGCGCAATGCGCGCGGCTCTGTGGGCTCTGCCGGGCGCTGGGACTCGGGTTCTGCTCGGTGTTGCATCTCGGATACCTGCCAGCGAGGGATTGGAAAGCCGGTATCATCTTCATCGTCATCAGACTGCTGAGAGGACAGGACGGCGGAGGCAGCTTCCATGAACGGGTCATCGTCTTCCGGAGACGCGGCGATGTAGAGATCGGCGCTCTTCGAAGGCACGGGAATCGGCTGTCCGACAGGGCTAGGCGGGGTTACCTCGATTGAAGGTAGCATGATGGGGCTGGGCGCGGTAGTGTGGCTGTTAGTGGCAGAGATAATGTCCGCAGAAAGGGAACGTACACATGAGCAACTTCAACCGGGGACGGTGTGCGCAACTGCTCAGCGACAGCAGAGTCCATGGACTCATCGACGCAGTCGCGAGGGTTGTCAGGCGTTGTAGGTTCCACGACAATCCTGATTTCCATATCCGAGTCCAGTGCGGGTCTTGCGGAGCCTTCATCACGGTTGATGCGACGTGAAGTGCTGCGAGTGGTGTCAGCCATCCTTCATACTCGCCCACGTACACCACCAGGAAAAAAGCACGCACGGGATTGTAGTGCAGCGCACAATTCCGCGAACTTCAACTGCAGGCACATTGTGCAGTCTCTGATTGGTTCCGAGTTGGTTGCTCGGACCGGGCTTGCTGAAGTCTGTAGGCGCGGGTGGAGAGTCTTCCTCAGGCAGTGGCACGAAGGCATCCCAGGTAGCTTGGTTGAGGTTGTAGGCCCTCTCTTCTTCACTCATTGGCAAAGGCAAGGCAGGAGTGCGCGACGGGGAGTCAAGCAGAGGCTCGACGGCTCTGCCTTTACCCTTGTCTAGCCGCGGGGCCGGTGGAGCCTCTTGCTCGACAGGCTGAGCTTCGGTGTCGATTCCTTCGACTGATGGCCTAGCTGCCGATGTGAGCGCGGGCTGCAGCGGAGCCGCCTGCTCTACACGAGGTGGCGTGAAGCTTCTGGTAGGTGTCGTGTCGCTGCAGGAAATAATACATTGTGTGAGTAACCTCTAATCTGCCGACCAAACCGCACACTCGACTTACATTGGGGCTTGCTCCGAAGCAGCCACATTCGTCTGCGTCTCCATCTGCGAACTTGAAGTGAGCACCGATGAACTTTCGGACACCATCGCATTCATGGGCTCCGAGCGAACGGCTGCTTCCTCTGTCGATGCGGGCACCAAAGGGGCCGCTTGCGGGAGAGGGGCGACAACCACCTCCCACTGGGAAGGGTCGTCTTCGTCGTCCTCCAGAGCGCTGCAACCGGTCTCTTCACTGCTCAGAAGTGGAGCGAGGAAGTCAAGGACGGGTATTTCCCTGGCGACCACCGCGGAAGGGATAGTGGCGGGAGTGATGGCGGGGAGAGGTAGCGAAGTCACGTTGGCGATGAGGCCGCTGTTGGTAGCTGGAGGGGTTGTGACGGAAGACGCGGCGTTGAAAGCAGGAGCGGCCGTGGTGGGCGCGGCTTCGGTAGGAGCGGCCACAGCTGTTGGCGGCTCCACTACCTCAGCTGCAACCGTTGCGGAGACGGCGAACATCGAAAGTGGTGCGGTGGCGACGTGTTCGGTAGGGAGACATGTCGACACGGGTGCGCTGGGTACCACTACAGCGTCTTCTAGGACGATGTCCTCTTCCGGCAGCGCGACAACACTGCGGCTATGCATGCTCGGGCCCGCCTCTAGACGCGATCGTGCAAAGCCGAAGCCCATGTCAACGTCGCCATCGCTGTCGTAGTTGTACGGGTCGGGGTCTTCGACGACCATCGGGACGCCACCGACGCATTGTGGCGATATTGTCGAACGCCTTCGGGACCTACGCAGTGCGACGCGTGCACGGACACGACGGACGATCTCCCGACGGGCAGCGCGGTGTGTGTCGCGGACAGTGTGGCGGGTCCGCGCCCTTGTCCGCCGTGGCAGCGCCAACGGGCGCGACGGCGAGGACAGCACGCGGGAGATTCGTGGAGGGACTGGTCGCCGTATGTTGACGAGGTGGCGGCGCTGGAGGACGGCACGCTGGCGCCACATAGCGTGGCGACGGGGTGCTTGGACGATGGGGAGGCGGACCAGCGGGCCATCGTCGTCGACCTGCATTTCGGCCATGTCGTGCTCGGACGCCACCATCATGGCGTCGGAGAACTGGTGGACAGCGGGGGAGGGAGGAGGGAAGGCGGTGGGGAAGAGGTAGCGGGGCGGGTGGGTGGAGAACATGGCCGGGATGGGGGTGGGAGGAGAAGTGGGTGCGGGCGGCGCTCCGGAGGGGGGAACCTACATAAGGATCGCGGGGGCGGACCGTAAAATCAGCCTTCGGGGAGATTGAGGGCGCCGTGTACAGATCCACATACCTCGTGCTTATCCAACCACTCGCCACCACCGGGCGCCTGGGAGGACGGACCTGCCGATTGGGGCTGCTGGACTTGGGGAATGCCGTACACGACGCTTTGCGCACTGATTTCTCTGCTATTTGCACCTTCCGTTGGTGTCGCATCGTCCAGGGAGAGAGAGGAAAGGGACGGGAGGGTGATGGGTGTCGACGCCACCGTCGCGAAGTTCGGACCCGGACGTATCCTCCTCAGCACAGGTGTCGGGGCGAGAGTAGAGGGCAGTGTTGTGGGTGCAGGTACTGCGGAGGGTGGATGGATGGAGAGCGATGTGAAATCAAGCTCGTCGACGGCACTAGTGAGGATGGGCAGGCTGATCGACGGAGGTGGCGCAGCTCGTTGGGGAGTCGGCATACATATCTCGTGTTCTCCTTCTTCAGACTCGGCCGACTTCGCCTCGCCTATCGCCTCACGAATGAGCTCGTCCGCCTGTAACTCCAGCGCTTGAGGATCGATCGTCTCTTCGGGGCCAGCTGGAGCGAGCGAGCGATGGCGGGAAGACAGCGTGGGGCTATTGGGTTGAGTCGCCAGGCCACTCGTATCGAGGCCATCTTCCACTGCTGGGAGAGACATGGGAGGGACAAGGCGAGGGCTGTTGGGCTCTGTCGGCACCTGGCCGTTGTGGTCAATGCCCTCCGAGTCGCTATCCGACTCGCCCAATAGCTCTAAGAGCGTCCTGGAAGACTCCGGTTCACCGCTGAGCTCCGGTATATTGTAATCCGCGAGATCGACACCTAGGTTGATGATATGAGGGAGGGAGACGCTGACGAGCTGAGGGGTGTCGGTAGGCACTGGCAGTGCCGGTGGCGCGCACCCGTCGGATGTGCACACTTCTTCGTAGGATGCGAGATCGTCATCTTCATTGAGGAGAGAGAATGGAGGAGAGCCGAAGAGGAGGGGTACAGGGGTGGGGGGGCGTGCTGGTTGCCAGAGCTCTGGCCGAATCTCGCCTTCCTCCAGCTCATCCGAGTACGAGCCCGTGCCCTCCATCGCTTGCGATTCCCAGACGCGTGGCTGGGAGGAGGGGAGAGGACTTGGCGACAAGGATGTGGGGGTGTTCGGGGCAGTTGGAACGAGAGTCGGGTCGTCTGCAGGTGGCGGCGAGCGGGACCTGCGCCGCATCGGCATTGAGGCAAGTATCGAGCGAGTGAGATTCCGAGCTGGAGTCGCCAGTGGTAGCCAAGACACAGATGTTCTGCGCGCAGATGTTGCCGGTGGCGTCGACGATGACGGCTTGTTTTCTCGACGCGGGTCCCCAGGACGAGCGATGGGGTTCACCCGCGCCAATTTCCTCCTCAGGATGCTGGTCTTGCGCCCACTGGCACCACTGCTAAAGAAAACGATCAGGATGGGGGAGAGCAGGCGGGTGGCGTCGGGCACTCACGACTTCGGATCCGGACTGGGAGCCCTGCAACTGAAATTTAGACGCGACAGGATGTCGCCGAGGTCGCTGCTAGCATTGTTTGTGGTAGGTTCAACCCTGGGGTGAGAGCAGCCTCGTGAGCGGCCGCGAGGTGTTGATAGACGCGAGGAACAAACGTACATTATGTGGTCGTCGTGATACTTCCAGGAGGTCAGATTGCGTCCTTCTTTCAACAATCGAATTCGGATAGGCTTGGATGAGGAGGAAGGATAGGGCGGCGGGCAATCGGGAATCTGCAGGGGGGATGGTGGCGGGTGGTAGAAAGACGGATGAGGCGGTCAGGAGTGGGCGATGACGGGGGAAGTAAAGAGACACCGCCACCCATCTCCGACTAGAGTATGCGCATCTGCAATCGGGTGGCGTGTGCGCGCAAGAACAAGGGCACGCGCGACCGCTTAAGCACTCCTTTATTCGGCGGCTTATTGTGTTGCGAGCGGACGGTAACCGCGGACATATCAGCGGATATGGGCCCCATTATCGGACGAAACACCAACATTCCGAGTCCGCAAGGCACAGAAGGAGTAGGGTGCGGGAAAATAAGAGACTCGGATGGGAAGGAGGAGGCAGGTGGTACCCGGAAGAGGAGTGGGCGAATGGGGGTTCGCCGCATTCGTTCTGATGCGCGGGCGCTGCACTGCCACGGCAGGCCCATCCAGACCATCCTCGCTCACTCTTTTCTTCTCCCGCCCTCGGTAGCCTACCTTGTCTTAAGAGGTCGGGCGATCTTCCGGCTCCGGAGCAAATATGAAGGCACATCGACTCTGTTGTACTGTTCTCCGGGTGAGTCCTTGAAAGCAGTGGAAGTGCATGAGAACGGGACTCAAGTCATGACGGTGCGCAGCTGATAAGCTCTTCTCTAGGCAGACGATGTGCGACTTTTTTGAGTGGGGAAGTCGGCGCCCCTAGTGCCGACTATCATGAAACTTACTTACGTTGTGAGTGAGCCCTTGACGTTGCACAGTCAATATTATGGCTCCTACGTGTACTTCAAGCAAGCAATATATAAGGGGTGTGGTGGGCTGGACGAAAAATCGAAAGAAGCGGGTTGCTGATGTATGTAGCACAGCGCAATATGTGCACAAGGGAGGACGTGATTCGTGAGCGACCCCAGGATGTTCAAGTTTCGGCGCAAGCGTACCAAGTACGCCGTAGTACTTTTGTGCACAGCATTCGAATTCGTACTCACGCGCGCTAAGCAAAACGGCTGAGTGACGCGGGCCCCTTTACCGCAACGTCTTCCAGATCAAACTTCCTAGTAATCGCTTTGCTTATTCAGATTAGAAAATGGCAACCGCAGCCACTCAACAGGATGAACGGAGCTGTCTCCCAAGCCCTCATCTATAGTGACTCGAATATTCCTCGCTTTGCTGCCAATACTTCTCCAGCCATCTGAACGAAATGTCGTATCGCACGGTCCCAGCCCACGAGACGGCGATGCTCGCACAGGGCCCCTCCTCGGGCTGCGGGCCATATGATTCGTTCCGGCCCACTCCGCCATTCCACAACTCCGCTCCTTCCTCTCGCTAGAAGAATGCTTATTTACGGCATCAGGTGGGAACGTCGGCCCCTAGGAAGCCCTGCCTCTTTGGGAACGTCGGAGTTCTCTGCTCAGCGCCCATGCTTCTCCCTTGTACTAACTGTGAGTGACGATGGGGGCGATAACGCAGATACTCAGAACGCACCCGCGCGGCTTCGTGGCGCACGGGGTCCCGAGGCGGCACAGGTCTTCCGCGTGGTCGTGGTCGTGCTGGTGCGACAACGTGACCACAGTTAATCCGACCGATCCCAGACGCCCATGGGCGACTTGCGCAGGACCACGCAACTGAACCAATCTCGGTGCTAAGGAGGTGAGTAAGCAGTTTGTTATCCACAATTGACTCGAGACAGACCGAGATGCCAGTGTTTGGCGCCTGAATACGCTCCCGTTTTGCCGTCTCCCGGTACTCCTTCGCAAGTACGCCGAAGCAAAGGATCGCCTCTCGAAGAGATCGCCCTCTCCTCTTCAGTGTGCAACACAGCGCTCGCGGGCCGCTCTGCCCAGTCAGGCACGCCCACGGCCGACGCAGCACAGGCCACTGATCAATGAATACGGCGTCACGACGTCGTCTAAGTCGGCATCCCATGACGCTCACCCCCGCTTCCCTGTGATCTGGATGCACCCAACGGCCCGCTGAGTCGCACCGGCGCGCATGCTTTCGTACTTAAGGTCAAGGGACGAACAGCGCAGGCGCGCCTGCTTCTGCCGTGCTGCTCTTCTTGCTGCTCTGCTTAGCTGCCCGCGATGGATAGCTTCAAGGATGGCGTATTCCAGAACATCAGGGTCTACTGTACGTCTTCGTTTGCCTCCGCCATGCCACAGACTCACATAATATCCAACAGGGCTTGCGTTTATTGTGTACTGGGGTATAGTTCTATTCGGATACGATACGTGAGTGTTGTGTTCGAGCTCGCACACGGTCCATACTCACCCAGCTGCACGCCAGCGGTATTGGAGGCGGCGTTGTCGCACAAGGCTACTTCAAGTCGCATTTCGGCATCACGCTTCCAGACGGCAGCACCGACACGAAGAAGGCGAATGACATCAGCTCGAACGTCGTCTCCGTCCTCCAGGCGGGCGCGTTCTTCGGCGCGCTGGGCAGTGCACCACTCTCAGGTACGGTGACCCGTCTCTCAGCTTGCACTCGGACGAAGTGCGGGGAACGCGGCTTGTCCCCTGGCGTCCAGACGCCCCGAGAGCGAGAGGCGCGGCGAGGAGGGCAAGGTTTGCGTTCCGCGCGAGGGCGTTAGTTTGATGGTGCGGACGGCGGCGCGGTCATGTGTGCCGGTCCGCCGCTGCGCCGCCTCGCTCTGGGCGGGCGGGCTCGCACGCTGCTGAGAGCGCGAGCGTAGACCGCGACAGCTGACGATGCCTACTGCAGCCGCCATCGGCAGGAAATGGTCCCTGCTCATCTTCTCTGTCATCTTCTCCGTCGGCGCGGTACGTACACATCTGCCAACACGGCGAGATCAAGTTGAGCGCTGACCTGAAGCGCGGTATGTAGATTTTGCAGACGGTCGCTGGAGGCTCGCGCGGACTGGGTTACATCTATGCGGGACGTGTCGTCGCTGGCCTGGGCATCGGCGCCATCTCCGCCGTCGCGCCCGCGTTCGTGTCGGAATGCTCGCCTAAGGAAGTGCGCGGCCGTATCACGGGGCTCTTCCAGATCATGGTCGCCGTCGGCGTCATGCTCTCGTACTTCATCAACCGTGCGTCTCTCCGTCTTCCCCGCGTGTTTCGCGCGAGGCTAACGTTAGGCCGCGCACACAGTCGGCATTAGTCTGCACATCAAGACGGGCTTCGCGGTGTGGCGGATCCCGTTCGGATTCCAACTCGTGCCCGCGGGACTGATGGCGTTCGGACTGCTGACCGTGAAGGAGTCCCCGCGATGGCTCGCGTCGAAAGGGCGCGTTTCCGAGGCACTCGAGAACCTGGCGTACCTGCGGCGACGGCGCGTGGACGACCCTGCCGTGCGCGCGGAGATGGCTGAGATCGAGGCCGCGATCGAGGAGGAGCGCGTAGCGAGGGCGGGGCTTGGGGCGCGCGAGGCGTTCCTCGGCAAGGGCAACTTCATACGGTTTGTCATTGCGGTCGTCATCTTCCTCCTCCAGCAATGGAGCGGGCAGAACTCGGTCGGATACTACGCGCCGCAGATCTTCAGCTCGGTGCGTCCTCCTTCGTATTCTTCAATCTGACCGTATTGACCAGGATCGACACGCGTAGATTGGGTACACAGGCACATCGAACTCGCTGCTCGCGTCCGGGATCTACGGTATCGTAAAGGTGGTGGCGACGGCGATCTTCGTGTTCTTCCTCGTCGATTCGCTCGGACGCAAGCTCTCGCTGCTCATCTCGGCGCTCGGAATGGGCACCCTATTCTTCATCATCGGCGCGCTGCTCAAGACGTTCCCGCCGCCGACGGACCCTGCAGCGGGCGCGAACCCGCCCCCGGCGAGCAAGGCGATGGCCGCGATGCTCTACATCTACGTGCTGATGTACAGCCTCGGTTGGGGACCTCTCCCGTGAGTTTCTTTTGCATGACCGGTTGTGTGGCGTTGGATGGAAGCTCACGATGATCGGATAGGTGGGTGTACGTGTCGGACATCTTCCCGACGCGAACGCGGCACTACGGGCTTGCTGTCGCAAGTGCCTCGCAATGGCTGTTCAGTATGCACGCCATTTCGCGGAGTAAACCAAAGGTTTCTGACAGATATCATATATAGATTTCGTCGTGGCCAAGGTGACCCCAACGCTCGAGACCGACCTCGGGTACAAGCTCTTCCTCATGTTCGGGACGATCAACATCGGCGGGATGGCCGTCTTCTCCCTGTTAGTTCCTTCCGACGCTTGCGGCTGTCCCCTATCGCTGACCCCCCACCTTTGCAGGCTGATTCCGGAGACGAAGGGACGCAGCTTGGAAGAAATGGACATCATCTTCGGGTCAGTCCAGGCCGAGAAGCGCAGAGCCGACATCGACGCGCACGAACGAGGTGAGCTTTTTTCGGTCGGTCTTGTCTGCGCGCATAGCTCTTACCCCCCGTCCTCGGTAGCTTTCGGACACTACATGAGTCGGGAGGCGGACTCCTCGACGCAAGATGGACGGTCAGTCGACCAGAAAGCCTGAATTGCATGTCCGTATGTTACGATATGGCTGACGACTTCGATGTATCGCTGAACGTGAGGCTACTTTACGAGGCTACCACCTGGTATGCGCTGTATGATAAGGGAGTGTAATGGAGAGGCTACTTACTCTCTGTTGCGTGCGGGTGCGGGTCTTGTTCCTCCTCCTTCGAACACCGCGTCCTTTCCAGCGCCTCTGGTCAAGAACGGAGCGCGAGACGTGGGATCTTATACATCTCCGGAAACCTAGAACGGCTGCTCGAGGCTGAGCCGCGTCAAGAAGTCGATCGCCTACCTGCGGAACATATCCTGGACGACTCTAGTGGCACATATCCATGTGCGAACGCGAGCAGCTCTGGGGTCCCCATACTGTATGTTGCTAGGGTCGAGCATGTTGACAAAGCGCACGTTGTAGTCCGCCGCATCCTCCCGACCGAGTACGTTCCCGAGTTCGTTGCAATGGGCCTGTTTGAAGCAATGTATGCTGTAGTCGGAAATTCTTGGGCGGCGAGGATACGTCTCGCATACTACTGCGCTGAATCCAGGGATCTTGCTACGTGAGCTCACTGTAATGAGCGGGTTTGAACACCTTCGATGCACAGAAGGGCACGCGTGGCAGCCTACAGTACGAGCGTACAACCTGGTTTCTCGAGCGCTGCTCGAAGCGGAATCCGCGCGTACGTTGCACGGCATACACAGCGATATAGTCTCCCCCAAACGTTTCCCTGCGTTCCTGTCTATCTACCCTAGTAAGTGATACTACATGTACAATAATTTACTTACAGGGCCAGCTGCTGTTTTTGCAAGCCCAGACCGCCCAATTTAATACATAACTCATACACGTTCAGACCGCCAGTGCCAATGAGGACGTTCGATCATCATGGACCAGATCCGACGCCGAGCCTCCCTTCAACACGCACTCATTCGTCGCCGCCCCCAGTATCCGCAGTTCGTTGTCATCCCAGGTTAGTCCATCGCGGCCGTCCGAGCCTAGTTCCGTTTCGTAGGCGGACGAGGCATATCCCGCGTCGTGGTTGGGTTCCAGGGTGGACCCCATGGATCCAACGACCCATGCAATGTCGAGGTTAGTGCCTTGAGTGTGACCGGTGGAAGTCGAGGAATTTGGGTCGTATTGATTGACTTCTTGAAGGTCGAGCAAGAAGCGCGAGACAAGGACGGCGGTGAAACTATGAGACAGTTAGTATCCAGAACGGCGGCGTGGAGGTAAGAAGTGTGTACGGTTCGGTAAATGTTGTGAAGTAGCTCACTTGTGAGAGCGAGTCGTTGGTGATCTGCAGGGATACGGTGAGGGGTAGTCTAGTCGCGAACACGATCCTCACTCACGGAGAGCATAGTAAACGTCAAGTGGAGCGTGTTCATTATGAGCAAGATCCTTCAGAATAGTGTCAGCGAATTTATCCATAGTACAATATGCACGACTGAACGTACGTGAAGTATACTGTGCCTGTCGAATCGGTCCAAATATTAGAGTAATGATACGCAATGTTACTTCAGAGAGGCCTACCATCTCGTAGTAACATTCGTGTAAAGGATGGCCTGTCCTTCAGGACTGTCGTGGTGAGGCGAATGGTTCCGAGCGAGGACTTCCAAGTAACCAGGAGTACGATCACGTCCGCTGCCATCAGGCAAGTCCGCGAAGCTATCGTCACTGTTCATAGCGGATGAGCCGATATAGCAGTACGTCGTGAGAAGAAGCGTACATCTATAGCATGCGTCAGCGTTTCGATCCAGAAATCATTGAGGGCTCTCGCTGCTCACCTTTTAGCCATCTCAAGCGTGACAGTGCTGTTCTTAGAGCATCCTATTGTCGGGTCGTTGATTACGACGAGCCAGTGATACTGCGACTAGTCCAGTAAGTCAGCGTGGGGCCAGATCATCTGCCGAAGTCATGGTGCGAACTTACGAAGTTTATGCCGATTGGAACCATCGAGAGTAGAAGGACGACTGCGGCGATTTCCCAATTCCTCCCGCTGAGGGCGTAAGTACGGAGCGCGGAAAATGCTGAAAGTCATGTACACACGGCGACGCGCAGTCAGCGCAGATGTGGGACTAGGTCACAGCGCACGTACCGGCCCAGGGAAAGTACTGCAGCAGCTGAATGGTCTGCAATGCTTTGACGTAACCGTCGCAGCTTGACACATATCAGGTCAATTGCCGCACCGACGAAAAGCGCGACATGCCTTACCTCTGTTACGAAGGTAGTGAGTACTTTGAACACGTTCCTCACGACTACGAAAATGGCGTACCGCATCCGTCATTCGCACAGAGCTAGCGATGTTGAGGACATTGACCAAGATGGGCAAGTATCGGTTGAGGAAGAACAGAACAGAGGCCCCGGTGAACTTCCGCCGCCAGACGAGGGCGACCTCGCGGTCGAACGTGATGAGGATTTCATATGTGAGGAAAGCTGTGCCGTTCGATTTCAGCATCCCGCCGACGACGCTACTCACACAACGAGAAACAAACCCACCTAAAACTCCGATGGGGAGACATGTGTTTATAAAACTGCGAATATGCAATCAGCTTGAAACCAGATTGGAAGTAAGTCGACACCTACACGCTCTCGAAGAACGCGATGAGCTCCGCGATTTCTGGGTCGTTGCTTGAGGACATTTCCTACTAAGTGGTAAGAGGGGGAAACCTGGTCGCCTCAGCCAACACGATGAGGTTGAAAAGGAGGACGGCTAGCCGAGATAGGTACCCCTGAGCTAGCGACTCGGGCGCGGACAGGTGCGGACTTGCGCTCGCGGAGATTCTGTTGTCGCGTACGCGTTTTGCAAGGCTCCGGTGGACAGTTCGTGGACGTCTCCCCAGCCTTACGCGAGAAATCAGGCTGCGATTGCGGTGTTCCGAAGGCTTTCGTGTCCGAGTGCGAGTCGCGGCATCAGACTGCGCGGCCCTGGACCCTTAGACTGGATGATGGGTGCCAAGCGTGGGTCGCTTCGTAGGCATTTTTGGCGTGAGATCCTGACGCTATCTGTTGCCTAGCTTCAAGCGCGCGAAGAAATTTGAGTAGAGAGTAATTCGCGAACCAGATATGTGAGGAAGTTCAGTAGCAAGCGCGAAGTCAAGTAAGTGGCGGATTGTCCGTCAATGTCATGGAACACAGCTTGGAATAACATGCGTCCATGCAAGCGCCTGCTCACCGCTCTGCCACATTGTCGCCATCAGGATCTACGATCGACGGTGAGACACAGCCCTCGGGCAGCTGGACAATCTCCTTTGCCTCCGCGATGGAAAATCCATGCTTCAGGCAGAACGTAGAAGAGATCGTCCACACATGCTGTGTCTCCGTCGGAAACCGGAGCAAAACCATCGCTCGGTGGCGCCCAGATCACGCAGGATGAACACTAGGAACTCTGGTGGGGATGGGGAGGTAGCTCGATAACAGCGTACCCAGTCACTACGACATCGTGGTGAAATGACACCAAGACTACCGCATAGCAGAAGTACGTACTGACCGTCACTGACGCCCGGTTCCGATGTCTCCGGAGTTATGATGGACTGAACGCCATACCTCCTCGGACCTTAGAGGAACCGCGTTGGGGGCCACCAGGTCAACGAAGTTGACTCATGATGAGTCTCATGGCGTGTTTCTCGGGCGTCCTGTTCTCGACGATCCATTGTCTCCTATGGGACTCCAGGCGTTCCGTGGAGGTAATAACTTGGTCAATACAGGTGGCATCCCTTTTCAAGTCCTGCTTCAGAGCGTATCCGTTGAGCTCAAAATCGAGTGGGGCTGGGTAGTTTACGACGTACCGATTGAAACATGTAAGGCATGTTCGCCTTCTTGGCGGTCAGCGATTGATCAGCACCGACAACAATGTTAAGAGAACTCACAAACTCTCTGGATTGCATGTAAATCACCCACTGGCACTGCCAGCCTCTCGTTGATGGCCCTGCAAACATGTAATAATTGGGCCTTAGAGTCCTACTCGCCTTGAGGACCAATCCCGTCGATCGCGCTCTCGGACGCAGACAAGCTGACCGCGACAAATCCTTTGAGGCGCGAGGCGTCGTACAGTAACACGGTGACGTACTCCTTGCTACGTCGGACGGGATTATTCGCGACTCGTGAGCAACTTCAAGCGAAGTGTCATTCGGCGGTGGAGTTGGGAAGGAGGTTGGACCCGCCTAAACCAATGCCGGATTCATTTGGGCGCATACGCAGCCGCCTCATCATGACGCACGTCAGGACACCCACGCCGCCCGTACCACAGCGCCGACCGGGCGAGTGCAGCGCTGGTGCAGCGCCAGCATTCCTCTGCCACATGTTGCAGGGCGCATCGCAAGACTTGGCTAAGGAGAGATAACTCACAAGATGCATGCTTCAAATTCATCAGCGCCGCGCAGCCACACTGCGCCAAGCACCTACTCATCGCACCAGCTGCACAGCTGTGATCAGGTGAATTCGGGTACAGACGACCTCCGCTCACCTTCGCCAAGTGTCGCTGTGTCCCTCCATCGCAACACGATCATATCAGGGAGGCAAAAGCCGCGGAGGATAGGGGTTATTCTGGTCTAAAAGTTGTCCGGATATCCCAGAAGAGCAGCGCCGGCCAAATCAAGCCTCCAGGCGAGCGAGATGTCAAGGAAACCGGCGAAGGGCTGCACGATGGATAGACGTCGCAAAGTAGAGGCTCTTGCATTCAGTCAGGTCGTCGGGCTGGCGAGATGTGGATGGATCCAGGGGCAGCGCGCCCCCACGCGGCGCCCATGGCGGGTCCCCGATGGTGCTAAATGAGGAGTACCGATCATCACCTGCTCCGGCGTGGGGCAGCCTGGAGTTGAGGATTTGATGATATCCTGCATCCATGCGGGCGAGCGAAATTTTCATGTGCTTCATCCAAGATACATCACCGGAAGTTGTTCATGTTGCGAGGGTAAGTACGAGACGTATGCTGATTAGACGCCTGTGTGCAAAAGTGTGTTGCCAAATTGGGACGTGGTACATTTGTACTTCGTCATACAGTGTCGCTGCCGCCTTGCTCAGACACGTCCTCGTAGGCGTACAATGCTGTGAGTAAGCGACGGGTAAAAATTTGCTTGTACTGCGACGCGTATGACGACAATACGCAGCTGGAGCAGGAGTACGAGCTTACCGGCCTTGTTGATGCCAAATAAAGGGGCAATTGTCCGCGTAGTTACGCTCACGGCATTTTCCCCGAGCCGCTAGCGCTTCGTCCGGTCCCTTTCCGGCACAATTGTTGGTCCTTCTTTAGCCTTTCCGAGCAAAGCTCAACATGCCGAGGGCCGAGCAATATAAGGCTGCAGAGGAACGCACCTGGCTCTCCATCCCACCTCCCGCCTTCCACCTTCTCCTCACTCACGACCTCGCCGGAGCTGTGCTCGGACTGCCTTCATCTCGTTCTCCGATTTCTACACGAAGCTCGACGCTTTCAATCTTTACCTAGCCAGTCTACACGATGGTCCAGCTCACCTCCGCACTCTTCGTCGCCCTCTCGGCGCTCGCCATGAACGCGCAGGGCGCGCCCCTCCACAAGCGCATCGCACAGGTCATCGCGGACTCCACCACGAAGTGGGAGAAGGCCTGCGTACGTCCTCTGACTGAAGGGATCTGTCATGTTCGATGCTCACCAGGCACCCCTATAGCTCGCGGCCGGCGGTGCAGACAAGTGCAACCCGGTCTCGGTCACCGCGTTCACGACGCTGCTCGCCGCGGCCGGCCCCTGCGAGCAGCAGGACTCGGCGGACGCGATGGTCGACCTCGCGAAGACGCTCAACAGCGACGCGGACATGATCAAGTTCGCCCAGATCTTCGCGCAGCAGCCCCGGAACACGGTTCGTCTTCATTGCATATGACGCGACGCGTCTGGTTGGGTTTCGAACATGCGCGCTCACACGGACTCTGTCTGACAGCCCAACTCCGTCGCCGTGCCGTACTGCCAGCAGGCGCCGAAGAACTCCGAGCTGAACGGCCTGTTCCAGTGCCAGTTCCAGGGCGCGAACCAGCAGACATTCGTCGGTGGGCTCGCGGTCGGTGCGCCGGGCACCATCCCCTTCGGCCACACCACCCCGCTCTCCCCTGCTGGCTCGTGCGCCGCCAACCCCAGCGGCCCCATCGCGGACGGCTCACAGTTGACGGACATCACGTCGGACCCGGGTCTCCAGAACATCAGCGGCTCGTCGTCTTCTGGCTCTAGCACCGGCTCTTCCAAGGCGAGCTCGTCAGCGGCTGCGGCCCCCGCCGCGACAAGCACCGCTGCTGCCGCAACGTCGACCGATGACTGCTCCGACGACGACGAGGCTACGACTACCACCGTCGCTGCGCCTGCCGCCACCTCCGCCGCCGCGGCATCCACTGGCTCGTCGAGCGGCTCGTTCCAGCTCCAGAACGGCAAGGACGCACAGGCCCTGAACGCCAAGTTCGCGACCCTCACCGCCGACGCCTCCTGCACCGGTGAGCATCGTGTCTGATCCTTCGTCTCATGTCAGCGCTGACCATATCGAACAGACGGTGACCAGGCTTGCATCTCCGGCGGCTTCGCGCAGTGCGTCGGCGGCAAGTTCGTCAGCATGGGCTGTGCCGCGACTACCCAGTGCTTCGCGCTCCCCCTCGTCAACAAGGCCGGCACGTCGCTCGCGTGCACCACCGAGAGCGACGCGACCGCGCGCATCGCCGCCGCCGGCGCAGCTGGTGGTATCACCGGCAACGCCTAAGTGCGCTGAGTGCTGATTTCACTGGGCTCGATGGGTGCGTGTGCGCACGCGACGGCGGCTCTGGAAGCCGCCGAGGTTATTTTTCTCCCGCTGGTTATGTCGCGTTCACTGTATCACTAGTCACGCACGCACGTACGCATCGCTCTCGCATGGCTGCCGCATTAGCACTTATCCTTATACATATCCTGCAATATCACGTTCTTTCATGCCCTGTATCTTGCTGCGAGACTCCTGTGATGCACGAGATGAACCTGCGCTGAGGGTGGTCGAGCGTGCTCGGGAGTAGGTCAAAGTTCTTTGAGGTAGAGACGGATGCACCTTCCGGTATTGAACCAGGTTACCAGTGAGATATGTGTCCATGTTATGTTTCAGTATGCAAACCCCGGTGCTCATCGTCCTCCAGCGGTAACTTGACATGCGCTGATGTCTTCGGAGCAAATCGCTTGAAGTTGGTCCGTAATATGGATACAGAAGTCCGCAACACCGATGTTTCATATTAGATGCGACAAAGAGCTGTCCTGAACAGGGCCGCTGAGGATCTCTCATCGGTAAGTACAACGTGTACCAGACGAAGACGAAACCCTGCGGCGGCATGCGCACCGGCAAGACAGGTGTCCTTGCAATGCATAGCTCACCGGCCCTCCGAGAGCCGCGTTGAAAGAGAGTCGTGCACGGCGCGTAGGAGTGCCATCCACCAATCTAGAAAGCCGGCCAAGATGAGAGTGGTGATAGACCATGATACAATCTAACGATACACGGCCCTCTAGAGCCCTTGTACTGCCCTGTTTGCTATGCCCCGCCCGGAATCACACAACAACATTAACGCGCGCCCGTCTTCTCGTGCTCCTCGCGCCACCTAGCCAGCATCTCCACGCTCACCATCTTGATCCCCCAGCGGTCCGCGAACTGCCTGCACGCATCCCGGCGCATCATGCTCCCATCCTCGTTGTCCTCCACCAGCTCGCACAGGATGCCCGCCGGCGGCAGCCCCGCGATCGCGCACAGGTCAAGCGCGGACTCCGTATGCCCGCGGCGCGTAAGAACTCCTCCCGGGCGCGCGCGTAGCGGAACCATGTGCCCTGGGCGGCTGAAGGACGTCGCGGTGGTGGAGGGAGACGCGAGCGCGCGCGCGGTGAGGGCGCGATCGTGCGCGGAGATGCCGGTCGTGGTGCCGTGTCTGTAGTCCACGGTGACGGTGTACGCAGTTTTGTGCGGGTCCTCGTTCTCCGGGACCATCATGGGTATTTGGAGCTGCTCGAGACGGTCTCCGGGCAGCGAGATACAGATGTAGCCGCTACAGGGGCTGAGTTAGCACGGCGCAGCATGCAGCGGATGTATCACGACGCACCTGGAGTGTTTTATGAGCCACGCCATCTTCTGCGTCGATATTGCGCTCGCCGCAATGATCAGGTCGCCCTCATTCTCCCGACCTTCGTCGTCCATTACGACGAGAAACTCCCCGCGCCCGAACGCCGCGAGCGCATCCTCTATCGGGTCGAATGCAAACTCCTTGCGCACAGCCCCATCCTGTTGTTCTTGCGGTCGCGATGCAGAGGTCGTCGCCGGGACGAGAGGGAAGTCGGCAAGAGAGGAGTTCATTTTGAGAACGGAGGTCGGGTGAGAGACGGATGACTCCGACGCTCCGGTTACTGCAGCCGGCGCCATTCTTCTGTCACTTGTAGGTTTGCGGTTGGACTACGAGGGGTGCAAGACAGACGAGATGTTCGAGGTGGACGTCGATGGGCAGGTTATGAACATGGTGGTTATTCAGGAGTTCCGGCTGAGTCGCTCAGCCTCGGGCGGATGGTGAGTAACGGGACGCGTGATTACGAGCGATGCTTTCGTGATCGTTCGCAGTTTATTCGCCGTCCCTGCGTTGTAACATGTACCAAACGGAGTGCATCGCCGTCGCGGGCGTGTACATACGCTCCGATGCCCCTCCGACGATGGTTTCGCCTGAAGAGCATGAGTGCGAGGAAGTGCTGAGCGGGAAGAAGTGCTGCTGCCGCGAGAGACCGCGAGCTGCGTTCGGTGAGGACCGGAGCCGACCGCGCCGAAGGACGCCGCGTCCAAAATTTATACGGCAAGTTGTGGGCCGCCGTCACCACTCTCCCTCCTCCCACCATCCGCCAGCGCTGCGTCTCTGCTTCGACTCGGACAGGCCCTCCAGTCAAGCCTCTAGACCCTACTCTACCCCTTACGCCCCTAGATAATCCCCATGGCTCACCTCGCACCCACTGGCAAGTGGGACGCCCGGTCAGTCGCCGTGCGCGTCGTCGTCGCGTCCGCCAGCACTCACCAATCACCGCACACAGCTACCTCGGCCCCGTTCCCCACGACACCAGCTACTATGCCAAGTGCATGCTTGGTGGTGCCCTCGCGTGCGGCTTCACCCACGCCGGCATTACTCCTCTGGATGTAACAAAATGTAACATGCAGGTATGTTCGCGTCTGTCTCAACTTCAACTTGTTCTCGTTTCCTGGCATCTTCAAACGTTCCCGGATACCCCGGTCCTCAAGTATTCTTCGATATCGCATTTCGTGTCGCGATGCGCTGGCAACTCGCGGTGGTGGGACGTGTTGCTGGTTGTGCGCTGTCACTCGCCTCTCCTGCGCGGTGCGTTATCGGCGCTGTAACGCCCAATGCATTTGGCGCCTTCTTCTGTCGCGGGAAGTGCACGCACGTTCCTGCCGTACATCCAACGCCGAAATTATGCCGTTTTGTCGTTCATTGGAGATGTCGCGTATAGCTACCTCTTTGCACACGGGCTAACACTTTGAATTTGTCTAGGTTAACCCCACCAAGTTCAAGGGTCTTGTACCCGGCCTGAAGACCCTTGTCGCCGAGGAGGGTAGCAAGGGTCTCTGGAAAGGTTTCGGCCCCACCTTCGTGGGCTACTCCCTCCAGGGCATGTTCAAGTACGGTCTCTACGAGCTGTTCAAGGACCAGTACATGAACCTCGCCGGTGAGGAGGCGTCCGCCAAGTACAAGGGTGCCATTTGGCTCGCCGGTTCCGCGTCCGCGGAGTTCTTCGCCGACATCGCGCTTTGCCCCCTGGAGATGACCAAGGTCAAGATCCAGACGAGCCCCGCTGGCACTTTCCCCGTCCCCATGTTCGCTGCTCTCTCTGAGATGAGCAAGCTCAAGGCGGAGACCCGGTACCCCTTCGGCTCCCTCGTTCCCCTGTGGTCGCGCCAGGTACGTTTAACTCTCATTCATGTACTCAGCAAACGCCTACTGACGTGCACCTTCAGATCCCCTACACGATGGCGAAGTTCTTCTTCTTCGAGTACATCGTCGGCCTCTTCTATACGCACGTCTTCACCGCGCCCAAGGAGTCGTACGGCAAGGGTACCCAGCTCGGTGTCACCTTCGCCTCGGGTTACCTCGCCGGTGTCGTCTGCGCGCTCGTCTCGCACCCCGCCGACTCGCTCGTCTCGCTCATGGGCAAGCCCGCGAACCGCGGCAAGGGCCTCGGGCAGATCGCGTCGGAGACCGGCCTCGTTGCGCTCGCGACCAAGGGCCTTGGCACGCGTGTGCTCATGATCGGTACCCTCACTGGCTTCCAGTGGTGGATCTACGACACCTTCAAGACCACGATGGGCATGGGCACGACCGGCGGCAAGTAAACGTAGTTGTGCATGGTGTTGCGCGCGCTTGGCTGGGCGGACAAGGAGGGAGGGGGCGTGTGTGCGGTCGTTACGTTGCGTTCTTCTCGCCTTGTATATTGTCTACAGTCGATGCTCGCTTTTCGTTAATAGAGTACCACGGACATACCCCACCCCTCATCGGAGACCTGCTTTAGAGTGTTTCCTTAGCCAGCCACTGAGAATGTCTGTAGACAACGTCTCTGAACGCATGTCGTTCACCGACATTACCCTCAACCTCATAACTATGGTAAGGATGCCGCTCTGATGTCATTTTCAAACTTTGGCTGAATCCTCCAGTAGGATTGCAGGCATTTGAAATGCTCACGATAGGTATTGCGCCGCCGCGCGCAACACTGCAAGTGTGAGCTCAGAGTGCGGCGGCCTACCAGAGCCGCTTCGGAGTCACGAAGTCCGTCCGACTCGGCGTCGTGCATGCGTGGCCACTCGGCAGCGGCAGTATCTGCCCTCATTAACATCGCTATCACTATCATGCGGGAGGATACGGAACCAGCCATCGGCCGCAAGTCCGCGCCGCACACACTACGCAGGCAGTCATCTGTTTCGCCCGCATCCAAACACGATATTGATCTGGCTTCACAGAACGCCGCACAGTCGTTCTGTCATTCCAGGCGCGATTCGGTGAGAGCCTCCGTCTCCTCCGCGCCAGGGCATTCAGTCATCTACAGCTCCTGCTCTGCCGTCAGACTCTCACGGGCGTCAATAATAACACGACGGAGCTCCTCAGGCTCGTCTCATGATGCCCGCATGACCTGCGGGGCACGTACAGCATCCACTTTCGAAACACGGAGTGTGCTCCCGCTTCCTCCGCACAGTCGACGGTCGTTCTAGATGCCTCGTTATTGGGGCGCTGAGCGCTGCCGGTCTGCAGCGGTTGGACGGCAAGGTTAAGCAATGGGAATCCAGCGTCTGCTGATCGCGCTCGCTCAATGGTGGTACCTTTGCGAGGCGCATGTAGATCACGTCTGTAAGAAGAACTGAGGTGTGCGTGCGGAGGTGCTGAACTTCGATCTTCTCACAGCGCCATGGCCTCTCGCTCTATAAGTAAGACTCGGACGGTGCGCCTTGCGTGCCTTCTCCAGCGAGTCGGCATATCCGCCAGACACCTCCAAGAAAAGCGATGTCAACTTTACTCAAGCTGTTACTCGGCGCGATCGCGTCGACCAGCGTCACTGCAGCGCAGGTTACGGTCAAGCTCGACGACGCGACCGTCATCGGGACGCGCAACGGGACCGTGACGCAGTTCCTCGGGATCCCGTTCGCGCAGCCTCCGTACGTTTGCCCTCTTCCTCCGCGCACAAACCTCACTGAATGTCTTCCGGATTCCAGGGTAGGAAAGCTACGTCTGCAGCTGCCACAGCCGATCCCGCGCTTCAGCGGGACGATCAACGCGACGACGTTCGGGAACCAGTGCATACAGCAGAGTGTGCCTCCGCCTGACATACCGCCCGGCCTGCCTGCGGCGATCTCGACCTTCCTCGGGATCGGGAAGCCGAACCATGACAGCATACCGGCGATCCCTCAGAGCGAGGATTGTGAGTGGACGCGATGTTTTCGTGGTGTTCGCGGTGTTGACTATATGCGTATAGGTTTGAACATCAACGTCATCGTTCCGGCGGGCACGAAGCCTGGGGATAAACTTCCCATCGCGGCGGTGAGTCTTTCATGGATGGATATCTTTTTGGCAGTGTCACTTAATCGGTCGCCCAGTGGATATACGGAGGTACTGTCTTCCCCGGTTTTATAGTATTCTCGTTGTGATAAGGCCTCCGTCAGGCGGATACCAGGTTGGCTCCAACGCGGTGTAAGCTGAAACTGGTTATCTCTTCATTAAGTTTATGTCTGACGCACACCCGCAGACAACCCGGGGCTGTGGTTGTAAACCGATCTATCGAGCTCGGGCAGCCTATCATCTTCGTGGCCATGAACTATCGGTACGTTATGCGTGGCATCTCCGGGCGACATGCTGACTCGGTATCGTGTGCGTCAGTCTAAGCGGTAAGGGTACATACCTGCCTTCCAGTGTCATTTATAGACGTATTCCCAGCATTCGGCTTCTTGGGAGGGCAAGAAATCCAGAAGGCGGGACTTGGGAACCTCGGTCTTCAAGACCGTGAGTGTAGCGATAGACCTCGTCGTCTATAGCCTCGAGTACTCACACCCGGACACCCGGAGTTAGAGCGGGAAGCACTGCGATGGGTGCAGAAACACATCTCGGCGTTCGGTGGAGACCCCACGAAGGTGACCATGTAAGTCGACCTTAAACGCTCCGAGATACCGCTGCTTACGAGCACACGCACACTCCGTCCGGCGCGATCAGATGGGGCGAGAGCGCGGGCAGCCAATCCGTCGCGTTCCAGATGGTCACGAACGGCGGCCACACCGAGGGCCTCTTCCGCGCGGGGTGGATGGAGTCCGGATCGGCCCTCCCTTCGGGCGACTTTTCTAAGCTGCAGCCCACCTTTGATTTCATCGCGTCGGAGACCGGATGTGCTTCCGCGAACGATGTGCTCGAATGCCTGCGCCAGGCCCCGGTTGATGCCATCACGGCTGCCATGAACAGGACGCCGACGTTCCTAGGATTCCAGGTAAGGGGTGCCGCACCTAAACACGCCAAGGGTGCCTGTCTGAAGTCGCTGTAGGCTCTTAACACGCCATTCATGCCCCACGCCGACGGGGTGTTTCTGCGCGACAACCCGCAGAAGCTCGTGCTGGAGGGCAGCGTCGCCGACGTGCCGTTCGTGATTGGTGAGTGGCCGAGCGAGTGGAAAGTGTATACCCGGGCTGCGCTCATCGCATCTAACAGGGTCGAACGAGGATGAAGGCACTCTGTTCACACTAGCATCGCTGAATCTCACGTATGATGTCCATATGGCTGCCCTGGATCTGTTCTCACGCTTCCCCGCTTCTTCCCTTCCAGCACTGAGCAGGAGCTGACTGCCTACCTGAAAGGCAACTACTTCCCCAACGCGAGCGACGCGACCATCGCGCGACTCCTGGAGCTGTACCCTGCGGACCCAGCAGCGGGATCCCCCTTCGGTACCGGGGACAACTTCACGTTTACGCCGGTCTACAAGCGGCTCGCCGCATTCCAGGGCGACTTCATCTTCCAAGCCACCCGGCGGTTCCTGCTCGATCAGCGCTCCGGAAAGCAAGTCGCGCGCTCATTCTGTGGGTGGTCCGCTTTCGCCCATATCGGCGTTATTGCTGACAGGCTCTCACTCCTTCCAGTGAGCGAGCGCAACAAAGTCACGGGCTTGGGCGCCGTGAGTACCCATTTCCAGGTGGAATTCAGATGATCTGCTGACCATCACCGCCATGGCGACTAGGCGCATTCCACAGAACTCGCTATAATCTTCGGGGGGCAGGACATGACCGACTTCCTGGTCCGCTTCGTCAACACTCTGGACCCGAACGGCGGCCCGGAGATTCACTGGCCGGCTTACACGTCGGAGTCCCCGCAGCTCCTTGCGTTCGTCGACGGGGCAAAGCCTTTGGAAGTGATCCCGGACACCTTCCGCAAGGATGCAATGGACTTTGTCACACAGCTGGGTCTTGCGCAGCCTATCTAGTCCGTCCGGCATCTGGTGTACGGTGGCCGGCAGAGGTATGGGTGGGTGCGGGATGTCATGCACCATGATACGTAGGACGAATCTACGCTGCAAGGGGCCAAAACGGCCTTTGACCCAGGACCTACCCGTATTTAGTCACATATTGATCAAGTTCAGGTTCCAACTGTCAGCGAGTCGCCCGGCCGCGCGTAGCGCAATGTCGCACTACGGAGCCCGCGAGCTGCGCATGCTCGCTGCTATAGCTCCGTCGGTGCGCGCGGCCCCCCAGGGGACCAGCGTTCTGATTCTCAAAGGCCGCTTCGGCGAAGCCCTTTGATAATCAATAGGTATTTCTTCAATGATGGACCATTTGCTGGGCCCCAGCTTCCAAATTCCCATGCGTCCGAAGCAGGTGTGGCTACAGGCACTACGTGAGTCCGCCGCCCATCTGACATTGCACGATACCGCGGCCCACTAATCATGCTGAGCGGCATCAGTAGCGCAAATCGTCTGCAGATCTTCCAAGAACTGCGCCGATTTTTCCGTGCTATAAGATGGACGAGGGCTTCTGGCGGGGACGTCCAAGGCCGCAGTCCGCATCTCACTGCATCACGTCCACCCATGTTCGCGCTGCCCGCCCTCCTGCTCTCCGCGACGCTGCTCGGCGGCGTCGTGGCTGCCTCGCCGTCTGTCAAGCTCGGGAAGGCCACCGTCGTCGGCACAGGTGACGGGGTGGTTTCGCAGTTCTTGGGCATCCCGTATGCGCAGCCACCGTGAGTGTTGTGCTAAGTGTGATCGTGTGTCGAGATTGTCATTGAACCCTATCATCCATGATAGAGTGGGGGATCTCCGGTTGCAGCTCCCCAAAGCGGTCACATCTTACAAGGGCACTCTCAATGCGACGACGTTCGGAAACCAGTGCATACAGCAATCACTGGCTTTGCCGGATCTGCCCGACAACGTACCGCCTGCTATCCCGGCTACCCTTTCGGCGCTCGTTTCGGTGGAGGTTCAAGGGCCGACCCAGAGCGAGGACTGTGATTACGATTTGACCTATGATATATAGACGTGATCTAACAAAGTGGTCAGGCTTGAACCTCAACGTCATTGCGCCAGCAGGAGCGAAGTCGACATCCAAGCTTCCCGTTGTCTTCGTGCGTAAAGCTCCTCGCCTCTCGCATGCACGCTCCTAACGCATTGTCTTCACGACTAGTGGATTCACGGTGGTGGATTCCAGGTCGGCTCGAACGCTGTGTGAGTCTCGAGTCTGCTTGCATTCCCCATCCAGCTACCAGCTTACAAGTGAACCCCATCTAGTGAGCCTGGAGAGGTCGTCGTCAACAGGTCGATCGCAATCGGGGAGCCCATTATCTTCGTAGCGACAAACTACCGGTCCGTCGTTTCTCCACTTCTCGCTATTTCTCACCGTTCTCACGATATTCAAACAGGCTCAGCGGTCAGTCGCACACGCGGAGTATCCATGGACACTAATTTATATCTGGTGCAGCGTTTGGGTTCTTGGGAGGAAGCGAAGTCAAGGATGCCGGACTCGGTAACCTTGGGCTCCACGATCGTATGTACTCCTATTCAGATGAAGCGCCGTGTTTCACTGACACCGTGCGCTTGATAGAGCGGTTGGCCCTTGAGTGGGTTCAGAGCCACATCGCCGCCTTTGGAGGGGACCCCGCCAAGGTCACGATGTGAGTGGCTGCCGTTCTGCCACCGGCCATGCGCTCACGGCGACATTCGTCTCCGAATAGCTGGGGCGAAAGCGCAGGAAGCATCTCTGTCGCCGCACACATGATCGCGAGCGGCGGCAGCACAGGCGGGCTTTTCCGCGCCGCATGGATGGAGTCTGGCTCCGCGTTCCCGTCCGGCGACATCACGAAAGTGCAGCCTACCTTCGACTTCATCACTTCGCAGGTCAACTGCACATCGGCGTCGGACAAGCTCGCGTGTCTCCGCACAGTTTCGACAGAGGATATCAGGGCGGCGATGGACCAGACGCCCACGGTCATCTCCTTTGAGGTGCGCAACTTGACACACCATGCGAAGCCATGTCTGATGCGTGTTTAGGCTCTGAACATCCCGTACTGGCCCCACGCGGACGGCGTTTTTCTGAAGGACCACCCTCAGAAACTCGTCCAGCAGGGCAGTGTGGCCAAGGTCCCATTCGTTGCCGGTCAGATCCACGTCACCGAACTGCTTTGAAGTCAGTATGCTGACCTTGCTCGCATAGGCTCGAACGAAGATGAAGGGACGCTCTTTTCCCTTTCGACGCTCGGCCTCAAGTACGTTGCACATTTACGCCGAAGTTATCTGCGCTGATACCCAGCTACGTAGCTCCACCGATGACTTCGCTGGCTACCTCAAGGGCAACTACTTCCCCGATGCATCCAACGGGACCATCGAAACCTTGATGTCGCACTACCCTGAGGACCCAGCGACTGGGTCGCCTTTCGACACCGGCGATGACTTCGAAATCACGACCGTGTACAAGCGCATGGCAGCGTTCCAGGGTGACCTCATCTTCCAGGCTCCTCGTCGTTTCTTCCTCAGTGAGCGCTCCGCCAAGCAGCCCGCGTGGTCATTCTGTAAGCATTCTCACTCAATCAGAACTCGTGCACCATGCTGACACCGCCTTCTCGCCCACAGTCAGCCAGCGTAACAAGATCCCTGGTCTGGGAGCTGTGAGTAACATCCATTGTACACACGGAATTACCGCGTGCTGATAACCACGCGCCGCTAGATCCACTCCTCCGAGCTCTCCGTCATCTTCGGCGGGCAGGACATGACGGACTACCTCGTGCGCTTCGTGACCACGCTCAACCCGAACGGCCTCGGGGCGTACTTCTGGCCAAACTACCTCCCGAACTGCACGCAGCTGCTCACGTTCCTCGACGGCGACACGACCCTGGACATCATCATGGACGACTTCCGGCAGAACGCCACGGACTTCCTTACACAGCTCAGTCTCGAGCAGCCTATCTAGGTTCCCTTCCTGTCATTAATTTCCCTCTCTTTCTCGGTTTACGCACACTCTTTCTGTGGTTTACTTAGTATCGGGCATGTATGTACTGCGTAGACGTACGAGTACGGGTGTACATTACGGAAGTCGAATGGACATAATCAGCTGTTGTTTACCAACTACTTCTACACTACAGTGGCGTTTTTGCAAGACAAGCCGGAGCAGGCGCACAGAGCGGACCGAAGAGTTCAATGTGCACATGCCACTGTGTGAGGAGGCCAGCATGTCGGTAAGGGCCCCATAGCTGTCGCGATAGGAGGCAGTGAACACTGTGCTAGTAGAGACTGCGATTCCGGTGTCGAAGACCATCAGGAAGTAATGTACATATACAGGGTCGACGTCCTGTCATCGGCGGTCAGCCTACTCAGTAACGCCTGCAATGTACTAACAACACTTACCTCTCCCTTCGGAAGTTTGCCGCCGTAAAGCTGCCCTAGTCTACCCCGATATTAACGCGCACGCCCGCCCGCACGAAGCTTTCGAGCATCGGTTGCAGCAGCACCCTAGGATCCGTGTTCTGCTCGTATCGTGCGCGTTCGGCGTCATAGACGACCCCAAACTCGTCTTCGACCACGGGACGCGGCACGGCAAACATAACGCGCACCGTGATTTCCGAGAATGCCGGGTAGCGCCGCGTGCGCCGCGCGGTAGAGCCGGAACCATCGGGCCCAACGAGCGCGGACGCGAGGTGGGCAAACGCGTCTGCACAGTTCAGGACGCGGTCCACCCGGGCGAGCATCGAGATGGAGAGGCGTTCGAGGTGGGGGAGGGGCACGGTGTCTCTGGACTCGATGGAAGATGACGGCGTGTTGAGGATGTCTGCGAGTGCGTCGAGGAAGAAGGGGAAGACGGGGGGTGGGCCCCACCCGGTGGGAGTTGGTGCGCCTTGCACGCCGAGGGCATCGTATTGGATGGAAAGGGACCGTAGGGCGGGGCAACGGGGCAGCGCAGCGTAGAGTCGCTCGAGGTGGTGGCCTGTAAGATCAAGCAACGGGGGTCTCGTTAAAGCGCGACTCGGGGGGAGATAACGTTATGGGACACTCACGGCCTTCAAGATGAACACTTCCGTCGCGGTCCATGTCTGCAATCGGGAAGCCAAAATGGTGAAGGGACGATCCGAATGCTTCGGGGACTACGAGTCCATGGCCGGATACTTTGGCCCAACGCGAGACCAGGGTATCGCGAATTTCGAATGACTTGAGAGATATGCTGCTCGTGGATCTCTCGAGAAAGGTAGCCAACGCCGTATATTCCGAATCTGGGATACCGCCGCCATTGACGATTGATAGGTTTTCCAGCTTCCAAGGGTGGTGGCTCTCGAGGACACTGGTTTCCGTTCCAGTGGCTGCGCACAGATCCTCCGGAAGTCGCTGAGTAGCTTGACCTGAGCTCTTCTGCTCCACTGTGACATCCTCCAGAATGAGCGTTTTGAGAGTCGGAATAGCGCCAGCAGCAGCAACTACATCGCATATGTCCAACGCGACAAGATGGCTTATTTTGAGGACTTCGAGCATCGGAAGCCTGGAGAATAACTGCCCGGCGATGGTCTCGTACGGGTGTTGTGACGCTGTGTTGTCATCTCCGAGACCTTGATGGATACTAGTAGCGCCATGAACCAACATCGAACGAATGTGGAGCCCAATGGTAGGGTTGTTGTCGATGATTGTAAGAAGCGCCTTCAAGCGCGGGGGAGGGACGTTCTTGAACTCATAGGAGATGTATACGAAGTTCCAGATGTAGACGCGGCATAGGGAGAGCAAGCCGTGGCAAACCAGAGAGCAGTTTGCGAGCGCCGCTTTATCTTCGCCCAACCACCAGATGATTTGCTCCAATACTTCGATGGGGAAGCTAGAGAGGCCCATGGTACTTGGTGATGCTCAGATGGTTGTTCAGTGGAGAAGGACTCGATGGAGGCTGGTGGTATATCTGCAGTCCGACGATCTGTTGAGTGGCTTATGAGTGGACTCCTGCGAGCACACGTTGAGAGCTTCATATAGCTGTGTAAGTATGTTATGCCAAGAATCACTCACCAGCTCTGCCAGCGGTAGTAGTAGTAGGTCGCAACGTCGAACCACATCGATAAGGGAGGTGATAACCAGGCGCTTGAGTCTTGACCGGGAGCGAGTGGGCACGAGCAGCCGATTGTGCCGTAGCTGCGGCTTCGACTCTGGGATGTGCTTACTTATACATAGAAGTATTGCGGACCGTTTGCTCCGAGTACGAGCGTCTGGAAGTGAATTGGAAGTACTTAAAGTTAGTAACATTAGCGCGTTATAAACTCGACAGGCTTGAATTGACCTTTAAAGGTATACGTGTAGGTCAATACTACACGCATCATCCCGCTGATGTTACGGCGGAATGGCGAGGGGCTGTGGCAAACGCACTGGCAATATACGAGACACTGGCCCGCAGCTAACTTGGACGAGTATATTAGTAATGCAAGTGCTGGGCCCTTTCTTGTAAGTTGTGGTACACTGGGAGCGTGATGAAGAAGAAGCTGGTGGTACGCGGAATCCGAAGAGTTTGACAAATGGACTCCCCCACGTGGCGCCGTCGCGTAGAATGTGACATCATGTCACGTCTACCAAAATCCGTAAAACGCACAAATCCAGGCAAATATACACCTGCGAGAGTCGATACGAAATAACTCAACGAATAAAACACTACGAGAACAAATCACGCGCATCGTAAATATCATATATCCTGAACCGTGCGGGAACTTGAATCTCAAACGCAAGTAACCTCGACATGCACACCCGCCTCCACGAAGCCCACAAGCATTGGGAGAATCACATACAGCCTCTCAGCCTCTAGCCTGTCACGATAGAATTTCATCTCGCTATCGTCTTCGAAAAACGGCGCGAGCGTCTTGAGGGAAACCGTTCGTACGTCCAGGCGCGAGAATCGTGGGTACCGCCTCGCCGTCGTGCAGTCTGACGTGTCCTCCGCATCGTCGTGGTCTCCAACGAGCACGTCTGCAAGACGCGCGAACGCCGCCTCGAAGCCGACGAGCCACGCGGGAGGACCGCCGAACACCAGAGTAAGGCTCTCGAGCAGAGGGAGCGGAACCGGACCAGGTTTGGACAAGACGTCGGCCAGGAGCTCCAGAAAGAAGGGTGTCGGGGTGTAGCCTGAAGATGTCCCTGCTCTCGACGGGAGGAGTGCTCCAAGTATGAACGGGCCGGTGCGCTCATAGCCGAGGCGCAGCGACCTTAGAGAGGAGCACCGTGGCAATTCCGAGAGGACGCGTTGTATGTGCTCGCCTATGTGGAAGGGGGTGATCGTCATAAGCTGCCTTCTGCAGGCCTCCAAGAGGAGGGTACACATAGGGCGGGGGTATCCTAAAAAGCACTCACGTCCTACTGGGTCGATGGCGATTTTCGCTTGGGGCTTGGTATCTCTGAACGTGATCCCAAAGTGGGGCAGCGACTCTCCGAAAGCGGGAATTCCAGGGAAGACAACAGGCCGTCTGGGAGTTTCATCCGGCGGCGCCATAGCACGGCAGATGTCGAGTACTCTCAGGGAGTCGGCCTCCGCCGATTGCTCGAGGAAGAGCACCAGGCGCGAGAGTTCTTTGATCGCTATTATGTTGCCCAAGACTGACAGCTTGCGCAGCGCCCACCGCGAAGACTCTCCGCCGACAGCTGCAGCCCGAGCAGTAGGTTGAACGAGTGAAGAAGGCCAAGAGGAACAGTTGTCGAGCATCGAGCCGATATTGTTCAAAACAAGTACCTCCAGGGGGGGCCGGTCGCGGATATTTGGAACTACTTTGCCGAGATCCAGTAGCAAGAGATCACGTAACCGCAGAGAGCGAATTGCAGACAGTTGCGCGCTGAGAGTAGCCCAGGTGGTCCCGTCTAACTCCATTCCGTCGATATAGCTATACCCAGGCGGCGGACACACGACAACCCAGCGCAAGTAGGGGGCGATGTTGCGGTTGCGGTTCAGGATGCGTATGAATGCTTCAGCGCGTGTACTGCGTGAGTGCTGATTGTGCGTGTCGAGCTCTACGGGCCAGGTGACCTCGTGCCAAAGATGGATGCTTGATACCGGCAGCAGTGAGTGACAAGTGAGGGAGCAGGCCGCGAGCGAGGGAGCGCCTCCACGTAGGAAACTGACCGCGCGTTCGACGGTCTCGACTGGGAGGGAGAGGGCGGGCAACATGATGTGAGAAGGCTACCCGTTGCCATTCGCGATCGAGCAACCCGCCGTTGAAGAACCTGGTGAAGAAAAAGGTGAAGAGATCTCTAATTTGGGCACAGTTGATCCTTTTGAGGCAGCGAATAGGGCGCTGCACCTATGCCCACCACTATTGACATCGTTGCGACAGTGCGCATGATAATAAGGCAGGAACAGATGGTGGGTGCGGATAATAGATGCGTGTGAGCAACGGATGAGGGAGAATATAACAGAGGGTCAAGGATCTTAGTCACATATAATCACCTCGACGTGCACGCTCGCCTGTATAAAACAGCTTAGCATATAAAGAAGTAAATCGTCTCTCTCCGCCAGCACCTTCCGAATCGCGTAGTTCCGCCTTGCGTGAGCCTTAAAGGCGATCTCGACCCGTACATCCGCTTGCGTAACAGGATATCGACATTCAGCAGCCCGCTTTCCTGCTTTGAGGGTAAGTCAGCAGATGAGCGCTTGAGCAAGCACGTCCGAACAGGGTGAGATGTGGAAGGGGACCGATGATGCTCACATTAGATCCAAGATGCTCATTCACAGACGACCTCGACATGCACACCCGCCCGCGCGAAACGCTCAAGCATAGGATGAATCAAGTCCTTCCCCACCATCTGCCTCTCACGACGCTCCTCGTTATCCTCGCTGCCGCGCAGCACACTGCTCAACATATTCAAATGTTCCATGCGCACATCCAGGTGGGTGAATTGCGGGTATCTTCTCCTGCTTGAGGGAACACTTTCATCAACATCCCCTACCAGAGCCTCTGCGAGTCGATCGAAGGCTTCCTCGAAGCCGATGAGCCAGTGAGGGGGGCTCTTGAAGGCTAAAGAAAGATGCTCGAGGGGAATGCGCGCCACGCTGGGCGCGCCGACGCCGGAGAGTGTGTCGGCCAGCAAGTCGAGGAAGAAGGGCGTAGGTGTGTAGCCCGGTGGCGTGTTGTGGTCGAATTGAAGGAGGTGCGACCAGCGGTCATATCGCAGGCATAGCGATCGTAACGAGCTGCATGTCGAGATGGCTGTCATGACGCGTTGCATGTGTGCGCCTGCAGACGGGATACGTGATCGTCAGTCTGTATCTCGCGTGAACAGGTAAAGCAAGACTCACGACCGTCAGGGACAACCTGCTGGCTTCGGTCTAGATCGCTGAGCGTGACCCCAAGGTGCCGCAGCGTTGCCCCGAAGGAAGGAACCTCCGCCCGAACACATAGCCCAGGATGTTCGTATGTGTGAGAACCGTGGAAGGGCCAATGGAGGTCGAGCGAGTCAAGAGATAGATAGGATGCCTCCGTTGCCCGCTCAAGGAACAACTTCAGCTGCGAGAGCTCCGAGCATGGCACTATAGCATTCTCAATCGACAAGGTACGCAGCCCCCACCGCGTCGGCTGTCGCCCGTCCGCATCTCCCATGCTCGTGATGGGGAGTCGCGCCGGCTGCGGAGGGGGCCATACGCCGCGCGATGCCCTTTCGATCATGACGGACTCCACATAGAGCGATTCCAGCGTTGGCCGGTCGCCCGCGACCGAGACGAGGTCGTGCAGGCAATCCAAGCGGAACTCCCGGAAGCGTAGTGACCGCAGCGAAGGGAGGCGGTCGACTACTGCGCGCCAGGAGGGCTGCGATGTTCCGCTGGAGGGGTGGGCATACGGGTGTGTCCCGCCGGAGTAGTGGGTGTACGGGTGTTGGTTCATGCTGAACACGAGCGACCGTACGAACGGCCTGATCCCAGGACTGCGGTCGAGGAGGGCCAGGAATGACATGGTGCGCGGCTCTGGGAACATGGTTGCTGTCCCTGTGAGCAGCTCGATATGTCGCCAGAGCTGGGCGCGGCAGATATGGAGGAAGCCGCGACAAGTGAGCGAACAAGCCGCAAGGGCGGGTGTGTCTTCTTTCAAGAAGCTGACGGCGTGGTCGAAAATCTCGACCGGGAAGCTCAATAACATGATGAGCAGAAGGATCCCGGGGCGGCCAAGTCGTTTGGACGGGTGCAAGGTGGACCTGGGGGTCACCGCAGTCGCTGGAGCGAAGAGGCGCTCCATTATATAGCCGCGGGCGCGGCGACGCACCTCATGCAAGGAAGCCATCTATCGCTCTTGACACCTTCGGGCACGCTGTGCGCAGGAGACCATTCGTTCCTCGGAACGGTAAGACTATTCAGGATGAACGGCAGCCATAAACGCATAGTATGGCAGGGAAGTGCGAGGAGCCGAGGAAATATGAAGGTCTGTTCCGGCAGCGGTCGACGCTGACGCCTCTGTCGCGGCTTTGTTGAGGATAGAACGCAGCGCTGGGCAAATGAGACTGAACCTTTCGTAGAACCGTTGAACGGCAGATCGTAGTGGTTGGATGAGTCTCGGGCGCAATCTCGACTCGTGACAAGGCGTCTGCTTACGCAAGAGGGATCGCCTTTGGATTCGCGCCAGCGGGCTCGTGGTGCTACCTGAGAAGGTTGAGTGCCCAATACGATCTTCACCAAACGTGACACTGACCAGCCGGTGGTTGCGGAACGTTGAGACAACAGCTAGTCATAATCCCCTGGTGGTCGCAGCGTCCAATCGGACGCGCACACCTGTCCAGCAGTCACAGCCCGCCAACACCGACGAGTGGCGCTCACAAACCTGTCTGACCCTCAGCTGACCGCCGATACGAGAACGAACAGAAATCGACCCAATGCCGACGGTGTGCCGAGGATATCGCCGGGGAGGTGAAACAGCACACCTCCCGTACTAGGGCGTCGATCCAGAGGGCCCAGATTATAGCAGTCGCGGATATCTGTCGCTGTCATCGGACTGCTGCGCGCGAACGACTGAACCTTTCGTCGGGCTGTCAGATGGCAGGGGATCGCGGCGGTCGCGCAAGTCTTGAGCGCGATCTCGACCTGTGTGTCCCTGTACGTGACAAGAGATCTCCGTTCAGCATCCTACTCTGATTTCAAGCCGGTCTACCGACCTCCAAGGGACTCAAAGGAGCACATCGCAATGACCGCCACCGGCCGTCCGTCTTCGACGCCGTAACAGCGGACATGAGACCCGTCCAAAGACAGGTCGTATCTGCAACCTCAGCTGACCGCCGATACTACGAGAACGAACAGAAATCGACTCACACAGCCACCGTCCGTTCCACCCACTGTGGGAGCCCCCACCCCGTCCCGAGAATAGCCACAAAAAACAAGCATCCGCCACGTCCACACCGTCGCGAGGGGCGGCCGACCCTTACGGACCTTACGACAGGCTCCCGCACGAACCGGGGGCGTGGAGACTGCGTGCGGAGCTACGATCCCGCGGACTCGGATGCGTGGGGAGCTCTGCGGCGGGTACGTCCGCACCGAGATCCCATGGACAGGCCAACCGCGATGGATGCGGTTGCGTCTGCGTCTGAGAACCTGTGGCATGTGGGTCAGGGTGTGCCGATCGATGGGACGGGCGCGGATATCTAACCTTGCCGCACAGTCTTGCGCACGCATCAATCTGCGAGTGTGTATGCGCATTGCGAAGGTATGCTGTGGCGCAGAGTTCGCGCGCGCCCGGCCACAACGGTGCTGGGCGCGCCCACGCTGTGGTCGCCGGGCTGGCCAGACTGCCCTGTGCAGCTGCAGTGATTATGATATGTCGCGCTGTGGTCTGGCACTGCCGTCAGCGTACGCCCGCGGGTAGATCGGGAGAAGAAGGTGGGCACAGCTCACCGTAGTCCGTGCTTGTTATCCCACGCGCTGGCGTCCGTCAGCATCACGCAGATTGAAGGAACCCAACATACCGGTATAGGGCCAACAGCGGTGAGCACTGGACGGCTCGCGAGGCGAGACTCCGTGTGCATGGGAGCGCACGGACATACCGAGGTGCGCACTGGGGGCGGATCAGGAGATCACACGGGAGCAGAGGGAGAAGGGCAATGTCGCGATGCAGCATTGGGGAGGTGACGGCAGAGCCATGTACAGGGTACACACAAGAGACGGGGTAAGGAACGGCGGACTACGGATGTACACGTACGTGCGGATTAGCTCGGTCAGGCTTAGAGTCCATGGGGGTGGGACGGGACTGGGTCGTACGAGCGATGGCAATGAAGGGTGGCAAACAAAGGAACCGCGATCCAGATGCGATGTGGGAGAATGGGAAGCGTGAACGGAGGCGAGATGCTGGTAGAATGATGCTGATGGTGCACAGACATGCAAAGATGAAGAAGCAGGAAGACGGTATGCACAGTTTGAAGATGGAAAGAAGAGTACACGATGCAATGCAGGAAGATGCGGGGAACAAAGGAGGGATTAAACGGCGCAGGGCGTCGCAGATATTGATAGTGATGATGAAACACTGCGTTGCCGAACACAAAATCAAACGAAAAAGTGGGACATCACTGGGGATGAGGGGTGCGATTCTTGCGCTATGCGAGGTGTACAGGCTGAGGAGACGTGGCGATGCTGTACAGGATGGGAATGCGACGTGTGGGGCGACAGCGTGGAGAGCAGATTAGGCGAAAAGGACAGTAGGTGCAGTAGCATAGCGTCATAGATAGAGCGGACAATGCGAATCAACGCGGGAGGGCAGCGGATCGACGCCGCACGAGGGTTTTGTTGAGGAAGTCATACGCATGGGTTCATACAGTAAATACCTCGATGCGACGTCGGCCGCCAGGGAATCGAGGATGCACGGAGGAAGCGTTGTCGACGGAAGCTCATGAGATCTCGACGAAGCTTCTCCAGCTGCGCGAAGAACCTTCATCGTCGCGGAAGTCGATGAAGTTGGTGAGCGGTGAGAGGAGACTCTCGATGGTCCCGCGCCGGCTCCTGGTCTTCCTCGGCGCGGGCGTCGAGGACACGCGCTTCCGGGGCTTGCCCGTGGGCACGACCACGTCTTCCTCCTCGTGAAGCACGTCCAGCAGGGATGTCTCGAAGGGTCCGCTTGTAGGGGGCGACACGGGAGCAGAGCGATTCTCGTTCTCATCCGCCTCGCCCTCGTCTTCGTCGTCGCTCATGCTCATAAAGTTCCGTGGGCGAGAGCGCTGCCGTGAGTGCGACTTGGAGCTGCCGCGACCTTCCAGCGCGGCAAGCGCAGCGGAACGGTTCACTTGTTGCGTTCGGAACGACACAGTGGACCGCATGGAGGGACGGGCGCGCAGTGGCACCGCAGCGGGAGCAGAGACCGGGGAGAAACGTTGAACGTCCTCGAACGGTGACCGAAGCGAGGTGTATGCGGGTGGGCTGCTCGGAGGGGAGAAGGAGAAGTAGGAACGCTCCATCGGCGAGAGCAGGGGCGAGATGGGGGACACGATGGAGGGCTCAGAATGTGCCGCGCGGTGCAGTGACGGGGAGCCACTGCTGGATCCTGCCGAAAAGCAGGTGGACAAGGTGATTGAAAGATCGGATGGACGGGGTCGGTGAAGTGACGCGGGCGGGGCAGGGAGCTGAGACGAAGGTACAGGCTTCGCGCCCGGGAGACCTTCGCGAGATGAATGACGGACGATGGGCCTGTGAGGTAGCGGAGCAGGCCCAAAGTGCGAGAAACTGAGTGGCATGGTCGGGCTGTGGGGTAGTCAGTGAAACCGAACGTGCACGAGCAGAGACGTGACGCACGATGTGGGCACTGGGCGGAGCTCGGGCGACGCAGGTACAGAGCGACCGAAATGCGTTGTCGCGCGAGTTGTGACGGTGTCTTTCCGGCGAAGGCTCATGGAGCGCATCGAGTTGCTCTCGGCGAGGTCCAGCGAGAGAAAGGAGTTGCCAGCCTCCGCGCGACGACGGCGGGGCATGAGGGTGAGGAAGACTGCATCGTCGTCAGATGTAGTAGCTTCGTAGAAGCTGTCGAGGTTTGCATCAGCTGGGAGGCTACCACGGACGGCCTTGTCACAGTGCTCAAGCTCGAGGGAAGGACGGCGGGACGAGGAAGGGGAGTTGCTCTCAGACACGAGACCAGAGTAGAAGAGGTTGGAGTACTGAGCGAACATGGTGGCGTGTGCAGAGCAGGTGTGTAAGACGCGAGCAAAAAGCGTCGGGGAGGGGGACGTCGTCGCCGGGGACGAGGGGGACGGCGAGGACAGGCGGGTGAGGAGGACGCTGGGCGCAAAGAGCGGGCGTAATATATGGCGTCGTGGTTTGCGAGGATAATTGAGCTCCCACGTGTCCGCCTAGCAGCGGCGACCAGATCGATCGTGCGTGGATCTGGATCGGAGCCCTGGCGCCAACGCCGGGCACAGCTGCAACGTGGGGTGCCGCACTCTTCACAGCCCGTCACCCGCTTCCCATCCTTTTCGGTGCGTCACATCCCCGGGTTCGCTCCCCGCTGCCAGCGCCCGGCTTCGGCGCGTCTCTGCACGCCCACCCTGCCCTGTTGAGTGTCATTGATCTTCATTTCAGACCGTTCCAGCAGAACGCGCGCCTGCTTCTGCGCTGAGGATTTCCGCGTTCATCGATGGCAATCAATCGACGTCTCTACGCTTGAGGGGGTTCGGGCGAGGGCTCTGCGCTGCCCGCCGCTCGGCGCTCGCTGTCCGCTATCCGTGCCACAATCAACTACTCTACCCAATTTGGGACGCACATGTCCACTCGCCCGGCCTCCCCGCCGCCCATGCTCCGGCGCAAACAACCAGCTGAGCTGACCGGGCGCTGCGTCCAACAGCTGCTGGTCACGAATATGAGTGTTCTGCGTCCGCCCTGACGAGAAGACGCACCGCGCAGCGACTCCACTTGATGTCGGACACCATGACTTCACTCGCACCCACGCCGTCGAGGCGAGCTCCTCCTCTGCGTGATCGCACGACCGCAGGCACGGCCGACGCACGGCGCCCGACTCTTTCGGGCTGTTGCTCAGTAGCCTCGTCGCGCTCGGTCCCGGGCGCGTTGCATGTCGACACATCCCCCTGGAGCACCGCGATCGAGCTACTTCGGTCCGTACTCGCCGTCTGCCCCAGACGCCAATACTGTACGACCGAGGGCCCATGTTAGCCCCCAGGGGCCTCCGCGTTATCCTCAGGAACAACTAGCTGCTCCGACACCCTCTTCGCAATCCCCGCTGCGCCCAAGTTGACTCCGCGTCTCGTTTAGGTTCTGCGAGGCTCAGCGCGTGTTGTTTGTCATCGTGTATGGCCCGAGCAGTAGCGCTTTCCGATAATCCTGGCCAGAAGCAAACGCCGCCGTTGCTATCTTCGCACCTCATCTCAGTAAGCTTGACCCACTCAATCCCCACTCCCAGCGTCCTGTCTATACAACAACGGGCAATCACCCGGACGTCTTCGGTCTTCGTCTTCCCAGCTTCTGCACACGTTATTGTAGTGCGACGTACGTACAGTTATTACGCGCTGCGGCGGTCTCGACTGATATGTTTGAACGCGCCACCACACATATACGACAAGCTAAGAAGGCCTCGACGCGACATCAGCCCACCGCGATAGCTATTTCGTACACATGTGTTTCTCCCGCCGAGCGGACTGAATGTGGCGCCCGCAGTGGTGGCGGGAGTCAACAACGCCATCCGCATTTGGTGCACAGCCTGCCTAATCCGGATGAAAGTCGGCAGTCGGGACGGGCGATCGGGCCTTCCCCAGCGCGTGCCTTGTCCCCCAAGCTTGTTCGCCTGCGCGCTCACACGTCCCGCGCTGAGACAAAAGAGGAGTCAGACGCGCCGCCCATCATACCACGCTTCCCGACGCCCTTGTGCTCCGCTTCCTATTGTCCCGCCGCTTCGCGAGCACACCGCCCGGCGAAGCCAACACAAAAAACAACGCAGCGTGGGCGGAGGACGCATGGGCCAGTGTGGCAAATTTTGTTCGTGCCGCCGGGATGCTGTCGGCCGTATCGGCGTATCCACGCCCACGAACGTGGGCCTCCCGAAACACGATCGGGTCCAGCGCTGTGGGACGGCGGTCGTCACACCGCCCTCCCGCCGCCGTTTCATCTGTTTCAGGAGAGAGGCCGCCCGCGCCTGATTCGTCCACGACGGTCACGCTCCGGCCGTGTCGGCGGGGTGACGCTTCGGACGCCACGACGGAGGATCGCCGGCGGGAGGGCGTCACGCCCGGCCGCAATGCTAACGTTAACACTGACAGCGTCGTCCTCGAGGATCTCGCGCGGGTCTCTTCCGTCGCGCGTACTTTTGATGCCCCGGGTGGTCCTCGAGGACGTGTCGCGCGTGCGCACTTGCAAGCTGAGACGATGGCAACGACAGGCGTCGGCGGCGCGACGTGCATCCACCATGCGCCTTCCTCGAGGCATCACCCCGGCTTCTTGTTCACTCCCCCTCTGTCGCGCCGCCGGCGCGTGGGCATTCGAAGCTCGCGGCGCATCGTGCGCGGCGGCGAGCTGCTTCTCCTCCGTCTTTCCTCCACGGCCCGCGGCGAGGTCGGTCTTGCCGGCGGGATACACAGTTCGAAGAGGCTGCACGCGACGGACTTCGTGCGGGGTTTACATACTGAGTTGATTGCATACGGGCCTGCGGTTCATCTTCGCAGGTCGCAGTCGCATCTCATGGTAACCACGCAGCTCTTACGGCTCTCGAGGCTCGGAATCCGACTTCGGACTGTCATCGGCGCAACCAAGCGCGACATGCTCCGTATAGTACCATCTGTCCGCGGTGCGTCGCTCGTCACCTGCTGTTGCCCGTATGGTCCAGTCTTACATTCTCCATTGCGCAGGCTATCGCAGAGGAGCACCCGCGCCGCGCGCATGCCGTGTCTCGCGGTTCGAAGCTCGGCCCTGCGTTCGCCATATGGGCCCGTCCGGGCCCCCCGGATCTCCAGGATAATTGAAGACGTGGACCGCCCCGCGGGGCATGGACTCGACACTGCGTGATTGCCCCCAACGGCCCTCACCGCCGATCTGCCTCCGCCGCGCCTCGTCGCCTGACCTGGACCGCGCGCGGTGGACCCACTACTGAACACGTCGCTTGACGACCGCCGGGCCCAGCTTGGAATTCGACGTCTTCCAGCTCTTCCTGCATTCCGCATCCCGCATCGACATCTACGGTGGCGCCACAGGTGCGGCCTGGGTCCGGGACAAGTGGACGGATGAGCAATCGCGCACACTCCGCGACTGCGGCCGACGCGGCGCCGCCGCTAGCACGCATTGTGGGTCCCGGGCGGTCACACACCGAATGCGAGTGCGCCCGATCGAAATCACATCACGCCCTGCCAACCTAGCTTGCTTAACTTATCTAACCCGAACAGGGCTGGTTTGGGGGCGGCGAGCCTGGGCGACGGTGACGGGAAGGGGGAGGGATGCGAGACTCCGAGGAGCACGCATCACGAATGGACATCTCTGCATCCCGCCCTCCCTGGCGCGTTCGCCCTCCTCCGTCCACGGCGGCCAGGGTGAGTATATGCCGCCCAACGTCCCATGGTCAATTCGCTGCGGCCGACCCTGGTCCGTGAGCTGGCTGCGCGACGTCACCTGGGTGGTCGAAACATCATCGGATAAGCACAAATTGCAGCGCCGTGAACTACAGCACGCACGCCGCGTCCGGCTCGGGATGCCTCGCGTGCACGCGCTCGCAACTTCTCCGGAGAGCGGTGCAGCATGCCTAATGGCGTCACCGCGGCTCTGCGCCGTCGGGGCGCGTGCGTGCACGGCGGACTGTCCCCACGTAGGTTCACCACGCACTCAAGCTGACAGGCACGTGATGATTATTAGGGTGCACCTCGGGCGCAGGCATGGACGACGACGACGAGGTGATACGTAGGCCGGCCCTGTGGAGCGCGTGCTAGCACGATGCGTCCGAGATAGGCTCTTTGGCGTGCATGCATGCACCCGATTCCCGAACGGTGCGTGCATCCATGGTGCTGACTTGGCTGCAGTGCGCGTTTGTGGCTGCAGTCGTGAACCGGCGCGGCGGCTCGCCGGGCACAACGTGCTGATAGCGTCGTCGTTCTGTCACAGATTCTCTCATGCGCGCACACACATCCCGTCGGCGCGAAGACACGAAGAATGGCCACCCTGTCGGAACTCGTTCCAGCGGCACATTGTGGGCGACATATCGGGATAGAGGGTCTGAATCGATGTCAGGACAAGACACGTCTCCGTCTCTAGGGCGTGGACGACCGACTCCCCGATCATGGAATATTGACGGCCGGCGGGACGTCTGCGCGCTTCGCCACTTCGGGCGTAATGTCGGTACCTCGACGGGATGTGTTGTGGCATGCCGCGTGCCGTGGCGGGGTTGACTTTGTGGCGTGTATATCACGACGGAATCAGGAATCAGCGAGGCAGGTTGAACGAAGGTGAGCTTGACTGTCGCGTTCGCACGCAGGTGCCACAGGTGTGTACAGTATCACCGAGTTTCCGAAGATACATTGATATTGATGATGTATCAAGCTAGAGTGAAGAGTTCGAATCTCCGGGAACAACCCACTCCGTTCACGAAGCACGACCTCTCACTCGAGCCAATCTACCCTCTGAGTGTATGCCTTGGGCCCAGACCTTCATCTACGAGGTGCGCCTGATGAAGCGGGGACACCATCTTACGCCTCAGGCTCCTGCCACGAACGCTGACTGATGATCTGCTCGCACAGACGGACTGTGGTCACGTCAGCAGCGCCCTCCACCATTCCACAGACCCTCCTTCAGCCGGCACTCAAGGAACTCCCGCATCCCGGTGACTCGCATCCAGCGCGCGACGGCCCCCGTCCCGCGCGAGCGCCCAGCGACGGCGCGGCACAGCTCCGTTCGTGCACACGCTGGCACCCACACAGGATCCGCGGAGCGCGGACTCCCACCGGCATGTACGCGCTTGGGCACTCGCACACAGGACACGCATTCCGAATGGGCTGTCGCGCGCGGATGATGCACGTCGGCCGCCCTCTATGCACTGGTGAGTGCGCACCAACTAGAACCCGCGCGTTCGTATACCATCCCCGTCCGATCTCTGCTTCTTGTCAGTGTCGGCGCTCGCGGTGACACGGGCGCCGCCTCGTGCATCGCAGAACGCGCGGGCCCAGTAGCGCGAAAGCGCTCTGCGCGTCCGCGGCGTGAGCTGATACACGAGAAGACTTTGCGTTGGACCTGGCGGCTGCTCGGAGGCGCGAGCGGGCGGTGTGTACCTGGGTCCCGTGCCGCACTGCTGTGGGCCCTGGAAGATCTCCACACTGATATGCGCGCGCGTATGGGGGAGGAGCATCCTGGGATCCTCGATGGGTTGCAGCGGTGCCACGATGGCGCGATGGCAGGGATTCTGGAATCTGTGGCTGCGCTTTCTGTTCGCTGCGACTGTGTGCGTCTGCGACGGGCGTGGGTGGCTCGCTGGGTCTGCGACGCGGGCGGTGTGTTCTCTTCGCCTCGTGGATCAACGAAGAGTCTTCTGCTGTCGTGTCGGGTACAGTTTTCGGTCCACATATGGGACCCGGTTCTGCGGCTTGCCGTTTGCATTGGGTTTCGTCTCTTGGGCGATCTATGTGTTTATTTGGCTGCCACATTTGACGATCGCGTTGTCTTCGTTCTTGAGGGCTTCTGCGGTCGAGGCTTGCTAGGAATCTATCCACATTCGAGGGCCCGTTCTGTGACCGACTCTATCGCAGATATCGCGCCTCTGCATCATACATCATCTGCGGGGCGCGGCGGCTTGAGCCCAGATCGAGACTCGCACATATTTATCGTTCTCGCTTGGTCACGAATCCTACCATACCCCGGCAAAACGTGGTACAGTCAACTAGGAGTAGCTTGCCAAGTTAGCTACTCACGCTCGCTCGCCAAAATGGTGCACTGAATATATGTATCTCGTTGGTGCTACAGCCTCCTTTGGGCACCCTTCTACCCTCCTGCCACGACGTGTACCACCCTGCTACCCATACGCCTCACACAGACAGGTGCGTAGGCTCGTTGTATTATGCATATATTCAAGGTTGACATGCTCGCACGTGATAGTAGGTGCTGCAGACTGCGCTTCTGCGTCGACAGCGCGGGGGGCACGGCGGGGCTGCTCTGCGACTACAGCCTGCGTGCGACTGCAGTTACGCAGAGCTGCAGCACAATGGTGGCTAGTGCATAAAAGCCGCATAGGTGCCCGCCGTGGCTACCCCACCTATCCTTCATACCCCCATACTCGCGAATACTGCAACACTCACCCCACTTGCACCACATCCCGCCATACTGCAATATGCCTGTTCCTGAAGTCGCACACCACCAGAGATATGCGCCTGCCCAGCGGGGACAGATAAACGCTGTCGCCATACTGGCTAGATGCTATGTTAAGGAGCTGAAGGAGCTCAGGATGCTGCGGGCCATGGTGTGTTTTGATTGCTTATGTTTATCAAAGTACGTTTGCTCACTCGTGAACTGCATCTGATAGGGCTGGAAGGATCAGAATATGGACGAACACTTCGCGTCGCAGCGGCACCGCTCCGACACGGCCCCCGTTCAGGCTCAGCAAGCCTGGTTCAAGGGGATGCTTTGCATCTCGCGCGAGCTGGACGCTGCGGCGGGGTTCATACCCACCTCTGAACCCCTTGAGTTCCTCGATATTGGGTATGTATGTATATGCGATGCGTTTCGGCGTTGTGGCTAATCATACTTCTTGAGGTGTGCACCGGGAGGATTCAGCACACACATTCTCCAGACCAACCCGGACGCGCGGGGTGTCGGCATCTCTCTCTCCGAATCCCAGGGCGGCCACCCGCTGCTTCTCTCGTGGGAGTACACGTCCCGCTATGAGTACCTCGAGCAGGACTTACTCGAGTACGACCTCTCCCCGCACCCCATCACTTCCCCGACGCCAAGCCCCGCCCTCCGTCCCCTACCCGACGCCTTCCTCGGTCGCTTCCAAATCGTGCTCTCAGACGGACACCCCCTGCGAACCTACCATTCCCCCCACGACGCTATCAACACGCTTGTGGCCCCCCACGAACACAGCGGCAGCCTCCTCATCGCTCAACTAATCGTTGCGCTCGCGGCAGTGCAGGCGGGCGGCACCGTCCTCCTGAAGCTGATGCACATCGAGGGCTCCCCCGCCGCACAACTCATCTACCTCCTGGACGCGATCTCGGACACGCTCATCGTGCACAAGCCGGGCACGATGCACCGGAACCGTGCGTCGTTCTACGCCGTCGCAAAGGGCGTCGGCGGGACTGAGGAACGTGCGGCGCTCAAGGAGTGGTACATCGCGGGTCTCCGGGCGCTCTGGCTCGAGCTTCGGACTGGAGGGCCGGCAGGGGGCGGGAGGAGGTTGGTCGACGGCGACCTGGACTTCGTCGCTACGCCGGAGGTGATCCTCGACATTGATGGGTACCTTGAGAGGCTGGTCGAGCTTGGACGTCCTGTCTGGGCGACGCAGGTGCAGGGATTGCGCGGTTTTTTCGAGAAGAAGGGCATTCAGGGCTTCCCTGTTATCGCTGGCAGCACGTAGGCTGTGAAACGACTTGTTAGCACTTTTGCCGCGGAATTGTAAGACTACCGGAGACTTGACCATGCTCCCTGGCTCAGATGTATTCTTCACGCCCACACCATCCCAGTCATCATACCATCAATCAATCTCGGCCTACATGTTGCTATGTGCTCCGTGATCACTCAGTGTAATCATGCATAGCATGAAGTCGCGTACGTATACTCTCGTATACTTTCCTGGCGAGGTCAACGTGTTTTGACGGTACCGGTGAGCGCGAGTCGGGCCGCCCGTGGACTCGAGTCTCTTTGCCTTGCCAATCATTAGTTGTGCATTGGCACCTACTGCCCTCATCCGCGTCGTCTTGACCACATTTACTTGCAAACATTTCTTTGACATGGCTGTGTTCGTTAGTTGAATTTGATTGTTGCTCCCGCGAACTGACCAATCGATCCGGAGAGACAGTCGCTCGCACAACCTACTTTGCACCTATACTTAGGCAACCCGGGTGGTGTGATCATTATGGCCTCCCGGTTTCCCTATAGATGCTGCTTCTTAGCGCACATTGAGAGGCATGGCCTGTCCGTAGATAGCGATGTATTATACCATGTGCTGCGGTAGCAACGAAGGTTTGTATAAGGCTATCGTACGGAGAAGAGGGGACGCTGCAACGCCAAAAATCGTTCCCTCCTCTCGCGATGGAACAAGCCTCACCAACCTCGCCGACCTCACTATCCAGCGCCCACGTCTTTTCAGACGAGGATCCGGTACATAAACTCGGTGCGGCGGCCATCCTCGTCCACAGGCACGTTGAGGAGCTCGAGGAGCTGATAGAACTGAGGAAGAAGGTGAGTGGGCTATGTCGAGCTTCACTTGGGCATCTTACTCACTGTAACATCGACCCAGGGATGGACGGAAAGCGATCTGAACAATCATTTCAAAACCACTCGCCGCATCGCGGACGAGCAGAATGACCGCCAGACTCAATACTGGTACAAGGCGATGAAACCTGTCATGAGCGAGCTGGACGATGCCGCACGGTTCATCCCTACCTTCGGCAACTTCGAGTTCCTCGATATCGGGTGAGTGGTACCCCATCGGCTTTGGACATCGTACGAGTGAGCCGATACCGCTACACAGATGTTCCCCCGGAGGCTTCAGTGCGCGGGTTCTTGAGAAGAATCGCTATGCTTCCGGGGTGGGCATCTCGCTACCACCGTCCATGGGAGGCTATGAGTTCAGCCTCGAGCGCCGCTTGCAGTTGCGCCAACGATACCGCCTCATCGAGCAAGACATCATGACCTACGACCTCCACATGACGGATGCAGGAACGGCCCAACCCTTCCCCAAGGACCTCTGCGCTCGGTTCGCGTTGGTCATTCTCGATGGCCACGCCCTTCGCACGTACTCCGCCCCTGGAGACACGCCGGACGATCCGAGACTGGCGCAGGCGGTGTACCGGGACGCGCTGCTCATCGGGCAATTCATCATCGGACTCCTCGCCGTCCGGATGGGCGGTACGGTCGTCGTCAAGCTGTCGCATTTGGAATGTTCCCCTGCCGCTCACCTCGTATACCTCCTCGACGCGATCTCGGACACGCTCGTCCTGCATAAGCCCGCCATCATGCACTCCAACCGGGGAACGTTCTACGCGGTCGCGAAGGGCGTTGGGCACGGGCAGCATGCGGATATGAAGGACGTGTACCTTGATGGGCTCAGGGACTTGTGGCGCGAGCTCAGGTACGGTGGAGTGGGCGGCAAGGGTAGGTATCTCCTCAACACGGACCTCGACTTCGTCGTGACCGCAGACGCGATTCTCGAAGACTACTTGGATCGTCTGGTCGAACTTGGGCGGGGGGTGTGGTGGACGCAGGTTGAGGGACTCCGGTATTTCTTTCGGAAGAAGGGGATCACGGTGCCATGAGCTGCTGGTGTGTACCCCATGGCTATATTAGCGAAATATTTTTTGCATCATGTAGGGCCACTATACATTACGAGCTTTCGGGAACAAGTTCACGCACGAATGGAGAGAGCGACGCTCCGAGTAATATGTATCATCCTTCGTCGACTTCTCGCATGGAGAGCCTCGGAAGGAGCTCAAATTTCCCACGACGGAGCGCCTGCCTTGCATGAGCGCCTACGGTAAACCATCACATGTGCCTGAGCCGGCGCCCTCAACCGCCTACCCTCGTCGACGTCGTTGCCGGACTTGTTCCTGCATAGATTGAATCAGAGCGGACTGATCAGCGTAAGCTATTTTGTGAGTCCTTCTTTTTCTCGCTTGACTCACAGTGGCTGAAATATGGTTAGGCTGAAGAATTTATACTGCTTGGTGACTTTCTGTGGTCGCTCCGAGGGCGCTGGCACGTCGAGGCCGACATGACTCGTTCGTGAGTCTACGCCTGTGCATAAAACCACCGGGATGATTATACTTATCAACAGGCCATCATATAGATAGAGTGTATCTGGCAATCCTAGGCCCTGGACGGGACACTTGCCAGGCATCCTCAAGGTAAAGAAACGCCCATGCATCACCCCTGCGGCGTGTTGAGCGTGGTTCCGCGAGACTCGCGAACTCGACGTGGTGGACTGGCGCCACGACTATATCTCCCCGCAGAAGCGCTGCGGGTCGTTAGATCCGTGCAAGACGGTATTCGCGCGTCTGGGGTGTCTTCCGCGTTATCCGAGGCGCGATAGAACCTCTTCGAAGGTTTCGGTAGTAATATTATATGCAAGAAACCTGCCAATGTTAAGGTACATACTCAATAAAGTAAACTGCTGCAGCAGGTCGCTATCAAGCTGACATGTACATCGTACACCAGGAACTTGAGGACATACCAACCTCAGCAACCTGGCGACAATGCGGGTCCGAAATGCACCCCACGGTGACTGTCGTCATTGGCGTGCGGGGTAACTCCGTGTTCGAGGAGACCGTCAGTATCTTGCATTCATTTCCACATAACCTAAAGCAACGTGTTCTCTGAACATAGGGGCCAACCAGTTCATAACGCCCAGATTGGCTCGCCTCGCATGATCGGTTGCCCTGCCTCGGCATCTGTGGCATATGAGCGAACAAAGAACACACTAGCATCGGCGCCTCTTACTCATCCTTCGCAGTCGTCGCAGGTCACCCTTTCGCACCAAACAGTGTCTGCCGCCTGTGCGGCGAGTGGATACTGGGCGTTTGATACGCGCGCGAGGAGACGTCGAGGTGGACGCGCGCCACCCCGAACACAGGGTTGTGCGCAGGAGGGACGTCAGTTACGACACCAACCCTCGACCTGACGCGCTTATAACGCCTTTGCGGTAGGCACAGTTGGACAGCGCGTTCGTTCTCTCCGTTATCCATGTCTTGCTTCGGTCCCTCGAGGGCACACGGCGACCATCACGACCACTTGGACCGGGCCGTACACCTGCTTCAAACGTGTCTCAATGGGCTGCAACACTTCTGCCAAATCCCTGGCGCTTCTCTTCTCCTCGATACTGTTCTTTCCTTGGTGAGGAAGATCCAGGTGAGCTTTTGTCTCTCTTTCCTCCGCGTCGCCGCATCTGACGCTGCGATCTATAGGCGACGAGGGCCAATGGAAAAGCAATCAAAGCCCTCAGCGAGGAGCTATGCAGGCTCGCTGAAGTATTAAACACCACCATGCGTAGAGTACAAGTCGACTTGCAACAGCGCCTCGGCGATTCGGAAAGCCGTCTTCGAATCGACCAAGTGCTCCGAGAGCCCTCTCTACTTCAGCAGAGAGTCGTAAGCCTCCAAGAGTACGTACAGTATTTCTACTTCCAGCCAGCCCGCAGCACCGACTATCGCTACTTCAGAGAGCTAGCAAGCCTGGGCGGTCTGGCCGGCGCGCTGAGCCGAGGTCGCTTTATTTGCCGTTGTCTCCGCGCCAAACAGCACTCGCGGGTGCTACAAGAGCTGAATGAACGCGTGCATCGCGCACTGTACGAATTCAAGGCAAGTTTCGCCACTTCGGGCTCTGCATGTTACTCATCAAAATCCACAGTTTTCCGGGCAGATCACCATAGAAGCCCTAGTAGATGAGATGCTACACAAAGCCTCTGCAGTACACAGAGAAGTAATACAAGTGCGGGAGGATGTTAACGCCGTCCGGGACGAAATACAGGTGTGCACTGATTCATACCTTTCGTCATCATTACACGACACTGATCGTTGACCATTAGCGAGTAAGGAGCGATCATCAGCTGGATCGTAAGACTTCCTCTGTGTATGTATCATGTACTCTTCACAGTACTCACCAAATGCGTTTTAGGAGATGATAGAACTCTTGAACAGTTACCTCACGTTGACTCCGGCTTTCAGGCAAGCAGCCAGGCGGGGAAGAGCCACTACGTAAAGGACACCTTCAACCGCGCTCTCGAGGAGCTTGAAGCCTGGGCCGAAGGGGGCTCAAAATCGACTTTCGAGCGGTTGCGCAAGCCCGTCTGGATTATATCAGAACCTCCTGGCTCCGGAAAATCAACAGTGGCGTCAGAGCTTTGTCGCAGACTGTGGCAAAGTGACGGCACTAGCTCTGTCCTCGGCGCGTCATTCTTCTTCGACCTTGCTGTGGTGGACTTGTCTACAGCACGAGACTTCTTCTCAACACTGGCTTACCAACTGGCCTATTCCCAGCCGACCCTCCGTTCTCTTATTGTCACAGCGGCGCGCGAGCACCGTAGCTCGGGCAAGAACCAGCAAATGGAATTCGTGGTGGATAAGCTCCTCTTGAAGCCCCTCCGCGCGCTTGCACAGTCTCAACAGCAGCAGCCCACGCATCCTATCGTCATCGTTGTCGACGGCGTCGATGAATGCGCCGACCACGCGACGGACACCCTCCCGAAGATGTTGCGTTCTCTCGTCGCATGTGCCCAAGTGCCCTTGTCGCCAATTCGCGTCCTCATCACTACTCGACCGAACACCATAGTCGACGGCGTCCTCAATTCATCGGAGCTCCGAGGGATCGTTCACCGGCATCACCTTCACGACCGTCCGGAGACTATGGCAAGCGATATCGCCACCTACCTGCGCGCGAAGCTCGAAGGACTCGAGGCCCTTCAACGGAGCCCCACGATCGTCAACAAGCTCGCTTCGCACGTCGGCCCGTCGTTCGCATACGCACAAGCTCTAGCCGACTTCGTTCTGGCGCATCCTGATCACCTCGAGATCGCCCTATCGCTCGGATCGGCACAGCCGTCAACCTCTTTGTGCGCGCTATACGCGGCACTGACGGGGCGTAATGTCCGTCTCGATGCCCACCAGTGGAAGCGCTTGCGAGAACGAGTAGAAAGGCCATCCGTCCTTGATGTGTGCGGGGCTTCGACCTGCTACAAGAGCATTACGCGCTGGCTTCGTTCCCGGCGGGCGGCCCCGCACGCGTCTGTTGGCCTTTCTCAACCTTTGCCGAGTGAACTATGCTCGCACTGCCGGACGGCCGTGGAGAACGCGCCGCTCGAGGCTTGGATCTTGAAGCGGATAGTCGCATCTCTTCTTGCGATAGGATTGGACGCGGCATCAATCCTCCCACCGATCACGTCGGAGGGCCATGCACAAGAAGATCCATGGCACCCGGAAACTTCAGCAACTTCGCGCTCTTGCAACGCAGACACGTTGTCGGAGCCACACATTGACCGCGCGGAGGCCATCCAACTGCCATGCCCGCAAGTCCCGGCGAAGGATATCGCAGCAGGACCAGCTACTACGGATCCGCTCGTACGTGCGAACATCGAGCGCGTCCCGTCTGCTCGTGCAATCCAGCCAGAGAAACCCGCAGGCGAGGCTCCACTTCTCGAAGCCGGAGCCGTCAGCATGCCCATCGCGCAGCCGCTTGAAGACCCCTTCGTGGGCGGCTTCGTGGCGCAGATCCAAGCGTCGATGGCCGCTGTATCTCCGCCACCGGTGGTGACTCCCCAGGCAGCTCCCCTCCTGCCAGACGTACCTCCTCTCCCCCACAACGACAACGACGCGACGCCAATGCCTACCCCGACGGCACCGACCACCAGCAGACCACGCCCGCCGAAGCTCCGGCTCGCGATCTCCGATCAGCCACCCCAAACCACGTCCCCAATCCGCTTGCCCTCCCCGTCCCGCGTGCACGCACACAAAATGCCCGTCGAGCATCGCGTGCACTCGCCCACCGCGTTCCGCAGCGTCTCGCCGTCTACACCACGGGGCAGCCCTCGACGCTGCTCTCCGCGCGCGAGGCGAGGGTCTGTGCTTCTCCAGAGGCTCGGCACCCCCATCCAGCAGCGCGCCGCCAGTCCTTGGGACGTCCGGCGTACGCCGACCCGTGCGGCTGCTGGGAGCCCGATGCGGGCGCGCGGAGGTGCGGGGCGAGACCTGTCGCAGACTGACTCGCCCGCCTCGCAAAGAGATAGTTCGCGCAGTCCCCTCGAAGCTACGTCCCCGGACATGAGGCGCAACACGGCCTGAATCGGAAGTCCGGCGCAACCCACGTCCGGCACGAGGGGATGCATGCGGTGAGGGCGATTGCGTACCGCGGCTGAGCTCGCTACGTAACCGCCTGGTCCCCTGGTTGCTTTGGGGCCGATTTGTAACTTATTGCTATTGCTCTTTCGACATCTTCGTTCACTACTCCCTTATGTTCTGTTTTATACCTTATGGTTCCCCTTTCCTCTCTACTCCATGTTACCTTACCCCGACACCAGTATGTAATATGCTCGTATACCCAGCTACCTTACTTTTTTATCTTAAAGGCAGGTCCTGCGTCATGACGTCCTTCTCGACCAGTTACAATCATACTCCCTACGTAATTACCATACATACAGCACAAGAAAAATACATATCCATGCCATTGATACACGTCGTTCCTATCCCACTATCCTCCCGTCCGTCTCACCGTCTGAGCCTGAACCAATCCGGAATCGCCCTCCACAGCCGCTCGCGCTCCCGCGCCGCCCACGCCTCCAAGTCGCGCGCGCACGCGACGCAGTCCGAGAACTCTGCGCTCTTGAGCTGCCCAAGCTCCTCAGCGACGTATAACGGATCCGCACACCCGCGCTCGCGGTCCATGAGGTAGTGCTGCTTCGCGAGATCGACCAACTCGGACAGGTCCCTCCGGCACGCCGCGGGAGTGACGCACACGATGGCCGCGTTCGTCGCAGACCGCGAGCGGCGATGCGCGGTGCACGGCTGGGCTGGCTGCCGTGGCCATTGGCGGTGGCGCGAGGCCTCTGAGGAAGCGTACTCCATGTTCTGGATGAGCGCGGTGATCGCGTGCTGTGCAGTCTCTTTCCCGAGAGCGAGCCGCTGCATGTCGTCGGGTGCGAGGATGTGCGAGTGCGGGTGTGGGTGCGGGGAGGCGTCTGGGTGGAAGGGGTCCCCCAGGCTCGGCTCGAAGATCTGCGCGTAGCTGTAGCGCGAGAGATCGTAAAACGCGGCGGGCAGCAGGTCGTCCGCGCCGATCTCGCGCGCGAGGGCGATAACGGCCTTTGTTGGCGGAGGGCGAATCAGCGCGACGGTCGGAGCATGCAATGAGGCGAACAGCGCGTACGATGGGGTTGGCGAACCGGTGACCCTTGAGCATGCCGGTCTCGACCTCGTGTATTCGCGCGAGGTCTTCGCGCGCATCCCAGGCGTCCAGTGTGGAGGGCCAAGCGATGCGAAGGTGTGCTAGTACCTTTCCGCGTATGGGCTCTTCGATCAAATATTTGTTTGCAATTCGCAGGAAACCCGATACGGCGACAAAGTCATCGCGGCCATTGTCGTCAAAACTCCTGGTGTGGGAATTAGCACGTCAGTTTCTGCCGTCATGTCCGGTGAAGTACTCAGTGAGGCAGGTATGGCGTATCTAGATACACGAGATGCCGTCTAATCGCACATGGTGTGAACACACGTACGGACCATCATAAATCGCTTTCAGCAGGCTTGCGACATCTGCGGGTGGGTCGTGGAGGTCGAGAACTGGGCACCCCTCGATAGCCTCAGTTTCCGGTAGTGGTGGATTGGGTTGTGGAAGAGAGAACAGATCTCGGAAGAACGTAGACTTTCGACAGAGCTGAGATTGGTGCACACGGAAGAGCGTAGAATGGGCGCGCAGGACGAGAGAGCCATCCGAGAACCAATACTCAGGATGCCTGCAGGTTTCTTCGTACTCGGTCGACATGGTGGAGGTAGCAATAGAGGTAGATTGGCAGCCTCGCCTTGGGAGAGTCTATGCATTCATGTCGTTCAAGATGATGTCAGGCATGCAGATCAGATGAGGTAGTAAGACAAGACAAGACGACGTAGCTGGAGTCAGTTTCAATTGATACTCCGCTTATCGTGTATCAGCTGAGTACCAATCGCTGATAGACCGTCTTCCCTGTCGAAGGTACGCAAGCGCTGGGAGTTGTTCCGAGCGTTGTCAGTCGAGTGTGTAGGATCGACAGCTTGGACGGCGATCATCCCGCGAGACTCTTGACGGAAAAATATGGGCCTCACAAAAAACATCGATGGCTTTGACGACGCTATGCAGCATACACTAGCTACCGGAGTCATGCCCTCAGAGCGGCTCCGCGACGCTAGCACCGAATCTCACGGCTGCCGCTCCAGTGCCGTTACAAGTAAGCACTTCTCTCCTTTTCTTACCGCGGCTCTCCCAATGGCGTGCTGAGATATATATGGGACGACTAGAATGACACCGCTTCTTGGTGACCGGACTTTATTCTGCGCGCTTGCGTGAACGCTCTCCAACCCGACCCGACCGGCGTCGCACCAATGCTAACGGTAAACTCGAGTCACCATGCATAGCCGCAGTGGATGGGACCCGAAACTGACCCACGCATCTCTTTATATCCAGGCGAACGAAGCAATGAGTCCTCAAAGCTTCGGTGCCGCTACCGAACAAGAGCGCGAAGGCCATTATATAAGGTGGCTCGATGAGGGCTGCTCATTCCAGCACCCCACAGGACCGTCAAAAACAACATGGCTCTTCTAATAAAACGTCTAGTCTATGCGACCCCACTTGCACTCGCCGCCGCCGCCAGCACCGTGCCTACGGTGACGCTTGACGAAGGCACCATCGTCGGCACGAGCGACGGTTTCCTCGATCAATTCCTCGGAATACCTTTCGCCCAGCCACCGTGAGCATATCCCCTTTTATTGTTGACACGGGACGGCTTTGACCGACCTCTTCTTGCCTGCAGGGTGGGAAAGCTGCGACTCCAGCTACCCGTGCCCGTGTCGCCGTACAGCGGAATAGTCAATGCGACCGCCATTGGAAATCAATGCTTCCAGCAAGCCCTGCCCGCGCCACCGGTTCCCAGCGGTGCTCCATCAGAGATCGGACAATTTCTTCAAGCTATTACTGCAAGCGAAGGTCCTGGCGCAGGTCCCCCTCAGAGCGAAGATTGTAAGTTCGAGTAAGTCTCAAAAATATGCGTGTAGTTGACCGTTCTTCAGGCCTTAATATCAACGTCATTGTCCCCTCAGGGACCCAGGCGGACGCCAAGCTCCCTGTAGCAGCCGTGAGTTGCTCGCATGACGTTTTTTGTCACTGTCGCTCATTGATATCGCCCAGTGGATTTACGGAGGTAAGCCCAAACGGTTCCGTGTCCGACGCATGAATACGGTTTACAAACACATTGATCAGGCGGATTTCAAGTGGGATCCAATGTCTTGTAAGTCACGATGTAGCAAGCGTCGTCCCACGACATATACTCATTTCTTCGTCGCTTTAGGGAGCCAGGCGCGGTCGTCGCCAACCGCTCTGCTGGGATCGGGCTGCCTGTCATTTTCGTTGCAATGAACTACCGGTGCGTCTTGACAATTTTCATTTCTTTCACGTCTCTAATATGTACATCAATCAGGCTGAGTGGTGAGTATTCACGTTGTGACCTCTCGACAGCACTGACGTCGACGCAGCGTTTGGGTTCCTGGGTGGTAAGGAGGTCAAGGAGGCCGGTGTGGGCAACCTTGGTCTTCAAGATCGTGAGTTCACCTATCCACGCGGTGCTGTAAGCTGCTTAAACCGTGTCGGTCGACAGAGCGAGAAGCATTGCGCTGGATCCAGAAGTATATTTCGAACTTTGGAGGTGACCCTACCAAAGTTACGATGTAAGTTTGCACCTTTTGCTATGTCTCTATCATGTAGGTTCTAATGCATACTTTGAACACATAGCTGGGGCGAGAGCGCGGGTGGTATATCCGTCGCACATCAAATGGCCGCGAACGGCGGAGACACGGAAGGGCTCTTCCGCGCGGCATGGATGGAATCTGGCTCTCTCTACTCCAACGGCGACATCGAAGAGCTGCAACCCACGTTCGACTTCATCGCCTCCGAGGCGGGTTGTGCGTCTGCGGAGGATCCCCTTGCCTGCCTTCGCGAAGTCCCTGCGGAGGTGATTGTGAACGCTATGGACAAGACGTCGACGATCTTCTCGGCCGATGTCAGTGTTGTTTTGTCCAGGAGCGTGTATGGAAGTGTGTACTGACGTCTAACTAGTCGCTCAACATACCGTATTTCCCCCATGTCGACGGCGTGTTTATCAAGGGCAACACGGAGAATCTCACAATCGATGGCAAGATCGCCAATGTTCCTTTTATAAATGGTAAGTCGATCGTTGACTTGCGATCGCGTAGGCGAGCCTCACTCACACATCTTCGCAGGCGCGAACGAAGATGAAGGAACTCTGTTTTCTCTCGCCCCCCTTCCTAACGTCACGTACGTCCTCCCGTCAGGGTTCGTCTATTCGTGATCTCAAGCTCCTTTCTTTGCACAGTACTGAAGAGGACTTCGCGGAGTTCGTGAAGAACAACTACTTCCCTCGCGCCTCGAACGAGACCATCGCACGCATCCTGGAGCTATACCCCGCTGACCCTGCCGCGGGCTCGCCCTTCGGCACTGGGGACCAGTTCGCCTTCAACCCGGTCTACAAGAGGCTTTCTGCTTTCCAAGGAGATCTGATTTTCCACGGGCCGCGTCGGTTCATGCTCGAGCAGCTCTCCGGAAAGCAGGTTGCGCGATCGTATTGTGAGCAGTCTCCGTTCTCGTTTTTGAGCTAGCCCTTACCTAATGTTGTAGTGAGTGAGCGGAGCAAGATCCCTGGGCTCGGCGCGGTATGCGAAAATTCTCCTTGTCGCTAATTCGACGCTGACAGGTCATTTTATAACTCTAGGCGCACTCCACCGAGCTGGGCAACATCTTCGGCCCAGGGGACATGACGGACTACTTCGTCCGCTTTGTCCACACACTCAACCCCAACAGCCCGCCCGGGAACTTCTACTGGCCTGAGTACACTCCGGGGCTGCCGCAGCTGCTCACGTTCGTAGACGGGAATGTGTCGTTGAAGGTTACTACGGACACGTTCCGCGAGGGGGCGATCCAGTTCTTGACAGACCTCAGCCTTGAGCAGCCATTCTGAGTTACACTGCATAGACATAATAGGATGGCTGATGTATGCCCAGTCGGGCCCGAGGAATATGCAGCTGTTGAATCCTCAAATAACGCTTGGTCCATGGCGGGATCGAACTCGCGGGCAACGCAAGATGTGGCGGTGTAGCGGTTCGGGAGAGGCACTGGGCGGCGCCTTGTTGCAGATCACTCAATCGTCCACTGGCAGTGGACGTCCATCTTCCGAATTCGCCGCTGCATTTTTTCGACACTCTGCCGACCACCAAGATGAACCGCGAAGTCTAAACACCCACTAGATGTACGACCATATAACATCCCTCATGCGCAATGGGGGGATCAAGGACGCCGTCAAATGTTTATCGTTAACGTGCTTGCTGCTCTAAATGGCACATTGTCCCCATTCGAGGGCCACGGGTTGCTGGAGCCCTGATCCAATGTCAAAGTGAGATTCTCCCGCCGGTTATCTGCCACCCTATCTGACCTGACTTTGTCACAAGACATGTGCACTTCAGACAGTGAGAATGCTCATGTCGCAGCTGACGTTGTCGCACCTCTATCTGCGATCAAACTGCAGCGTGCTGCATGGAATGGCTTTCTGATCAAACTCAAGAGCTGCGCTTCTTCAGGGAGTACTTATACACGCACTACCACGCTAGATGGCCAGAATCGCCGCCCTCATCTTTGAACACACGATTGCCCACAGCACGTTCACACTATGATTTGGCTTTGGGTCGGCCTATTTTTCGCCTGCGTAGGAATTCTCCTACGTCCTTTAAGACATAGGCTTCCTCTCCCACCTGGCCCTCGAGGTCTCCCCGTCATAGGCAACATTCTCGATTATCCAGCTTCGGACCTAGGCCGCGGCTTCCGCGCTCTCGCAGCGCGATACGGTACGTACTCGTCGGCGTTTCGGTCACCCGTATTGCTCATTTAACATACTTCCCTACAGGTTCGCTAGTACACCTAAAGATCCTTGGCCATTCAATCGTAGCGATTGATTCTTACGACACTGCGCGCGAGCTCCTGGACAAGAGGTCCAGGAACTATGCTGATCGGCCTGACGCCGTCATGGCGAGACTGTACGTGTCCTGTAACGCGGGTCTCGATGCCTTTGCAATGATTGCTGCTCACAAATAATCATCCAGAACGTCGCTAACGGAGTTCAATCTTCCCCTCATGCGTTATGGGCAGGCATGGCGGACACATAGACGGTTCTTCCACCAGACGCTTTCGCTCAAGACGTTCGAGTCTACCTATCGCCCTCATATCCGCAAGTTCGCGCACGACCTCCTCCAAAATCTCTTAGATAATCCCAAAGACTTCTCGCGCCACATACACCAGTGAGCCCTGCCATCCCTGCGACGGCTGCTCGCTCAGTCTACTCACGGAGTTCATCAGCGCCTTTGCGGCCTCTGTACTTAACGTGGGGTATGGTATCGAAGTTTCCAAGGACGACGACAAATACGTCAACATGTTGCACTCGGTGCACGACCTAATCGAGGATGCAGTAGTCCCGGGGAAATATCTGGTGGAGTTGTTTCCGACCATGCAGCGCCTCCCTAGCTGGTTTCCCGGCACTCGTTTCCGAAGCGACGCGCTCTTTGTGCGTAAGGGGACGCAGGAGGTTTTGTATGCGTTGTACGAAGAAGGGAAGCGACGCTTGGTTAGTGTTCCCGCTCATTGAAATGGATCTTCTTCCTGATTGCTTCGTCATACAGGCTTCCGGGAATGCAAAAGATTCGATGCTATCCGCCACGTTACAGCGAACCTCCAACTTCGACTCCAAAGCTGCCGCGGAGGAAGAGGAGATATGCGCCGGCGCGCTCATGACGACATATATGGGTACGTCGCTACTGTCTTCAATCAATTTCGGACTTTGCCTGAACTGCTCCTGGCGCAGCGGGATCGGATACTGTCAGTCTTACGCAGTGATTCTTCCTATTTATTCCACTGACTTAGACATCACATGCAGACTATGGCATCTCTGCGCGCCTTCTTCTTGGCGATGACGATGTACCCCGATGTGCAGAAGAAAGCCCAGGTCGAACTCGACAGAGTCATTGGGCATACCCGCCTCCCCGACTTCGAAGACAGGGGCAGCCTGCCGTATTTGAACGCGATCGTGAAGGAGCTTACTCGCTGGCATGTCGTCGCCCCAATAGGCCTCCCCCACGCCGCCCTCGAGGATGACGAGTACAACGGGCTCTTCATTCCGAGGGGAGCGATGATTATCTCTAATTTCTGGTGCGAGAAATCGAACCCCATGTCTAAATGCTATTGATGGAGGCTGTCAGGTCATACTCTCGCGACCCGGACGTGTACCCAGATCCGGAGACTTTCGATCCAGAACGCTTTTTGCAAGATGGCAAACTCAACTCCGGTGCTCGCGATCCGTACGCGTACATCTTTGGTCTGGGAAGAAGGTGCGCCGCGACGCCAAACAGGGCGGTCCGCATACGTCTTAACTTGATATGACCAGGGTCTGTCCTGGCCGCCACCTGGCGGACGCCTCGCTCTTCCTCGCGTGCGCGTCCATACTGCATGCGTTTAACATCACACCGCCGCTAGACGAGAACGGGCATCCGGTGAAGCTCGAAGCAAAAGTGACAACCGGCCTTGTCATCTCGTGCGTCATCTCGTTATCCAACTTCTCTCTGCGCACTTATAACCACTACTGCTACATCCAGTCATCCCGAGGAATTCGAGTGTATTGTAGAGTCACGCTCTGCAGAATCCGCATATCTTGTCAGAGCATAGGATCCGGAGGTGGGATTCTCGTCTCCAGCGTTCTGCGCGTGTATGGTAAATTAACACAATCGGGCGCGATTACCCAAGAATCTGTATTGATTACATCGACATGCATTCGCAGACCGCTGCGGCTTCAATCAAACAATATCTCGACATGCACACCCGCCTCCACGAAATCCGCAAGCATCGGAAGAACGACATTTATTCTCACCTCTTTTTGCCTATCGCGTTCATCTGCCTCCAAGTCACGATCCCCCGGGCTCGGTGTCCCCAAATACCGCCGGATGATCGTAAGGAATGACACCCGTAGACTCAGGTGATTGAACCGCGGGAACCTCCTCGCCGTCCTGCCCTCCCTGGAGTCTCCCGGACTATCTGCATCTCCGACGAGCACCTCCGCGAGGCGCGCGAATGACGGGGCGAAGCCGGCTATCCATGCCGCTGGGCTGTTGAGCATGATGAAGAGGCTCTCGAGGAGCGGGAGCGGCGCTGGGCCCGGCGTCGACAGCATGTCTGCTAGGAGCTCAAGAAAGCACGGTGTTTGAGTAAGGGCTCTGGGCTTGGCCCACCCATCGTCGCCGTCGCGGGAAGCATACTCGTAGAGAACGGAATAGCGCGAGTTGTAACCGAGGCGCAGCGATGTCAGGGAGCTGCACCGGGGTATATCGGAGATGACGGGCTGCATATGCTCGCCTGGGCAAACGAGGAGAGGCTAAGTCAGCTATACGTCGACAGTACACAAACGGCAAGGCGGGGCGGGAATCCAGGAGACTTACGATGATCAAAGGCCGGCCCGAAGCTCACAGGGAGCTCGGTGAAAGTGATACCAAAGTGGCGCAATGACGCCCCGTAGAGTGGTATACCAGGCCCGGCCTGGGGCCTCCTGAAGCGGCCAAAATCGTGCGGCATGACACAGCACAAGCCCAGGGAGTCGAGTCTAGGCATGTATCCCTTCGCTTGTTCCAGGAAGAGCGCCAGTCGAACAGCTTCCTCTCCGCTCATATCTCCGCCGACGATGGACAGCGTGCGTAGCGCACACAACGGCAGCAGCGGTTTGTCGACGGCGCTTTCAGAGAGATGGGGCCACACGAGCACCTTGACGCGGAACTCTCCAAGATCGACGTCCTCCAGGTAAAGTGCTTCCAGTGTAGGTCGATCGCGAATCAGTTCAACCACTTCATACAGATACACCATGCACAAGCTGCGCAGACGCAACGAGCGGAGGGTGGGGAGTCGTACACTGATTATATCCCAGGTCATTTTGTCGAAGGGCACATTTTCACCGGCGTGTGCGTACTCTTCTGGGTGCAGGATGAGCGAGCCAATGTAGAGAACAATTGTGGGATCGATGTCGAGGAGACCTAGGAACGCTTTGGTACGCTGACAGCAGGCGCCATCCTGATCGAGGGGCAACGCGACCTCTTGCCAGAGCCAGGTTCTGGCGATGGGGACTAGACCGTGGCAAGTCGAAGCGCAGACGGAGAGCGAGGAAGGGTCGTCCGCTAGGAAATTGAATATGTGTTCGATAGTTTCTACGGGGAGAGTTAGTAGCATGGTGGGCGGAGGCAGAACGAAGCCGCAGTCTGCATGCACGCCCGTACCCACGAGACCCATCCCATCATTTGCTTGCAGCGGGCCGGTACTACCCTGAATAACCCCGAAAAGCGCCTCGTCGTCGTTACCTATATTCATTAGTATATTCCAGAGTGTGGCCAAGCTACTCGTGACGGCATGCCTCGAAGGTACATAGCGAGGTCAATCGCACACAACCTCAACATCCACGCCCGCCTGCACAAATCCCGCCAGCATGGGAAGAACGAGGTTCAGTCTCTCCACCTCCTGCCGCCTGCGCTCCTCCTCTATCCCCTTGTCTCCAAAAAGTATACCAACAATCTCGAGGATTGAGATCCGCACATGCAAGTGAGAGAACCGCGGGTATCGCCTCGCCCCAGTGCCTCGTCCCGCACCAACGATCGATCCGTCGGCATCCCCGACGAGCGTCTCTGCAAGGCGCGCGAATGCTGCCTCGAAGCCGGAGATCCACGAGATCGGGCTGTAGAACACAAGGGATATGCTTTCGAGCAGCGGGAGCGGGGCGGCGCCGGGCGTGGACAGTACATCTGCAAGGCGCTCCAGGAAGAACGGTGCTGGTGTATGGCTGGGCTGGGACGTCCTAGATGCCCCTGCGGGGAACACGCCCGTCATGTACGCCATGCGACGGTCGTAATGAAGAGAGAGCGACCGCAGAGCGTCACATCGTGGTAAATCCGACATGATGCGTTCCACATGCTTGCCTGTGGATGGGGAGGGGCCGTCAGTACTCGCGCGTGCGGGACGCAGTTGGGTAAGAGGACTCACGGCCCTCGGCGCAGATACTCGTGTTGGACTCGAGATCGAAGAGCAGGGTCCCAAAATGGTGTAGGGACGGCCCAAATGAAGGAATTCCGGGAGCGTACATGGCCCCTCCGGCACCATTGGGCATCAGGGGGCAGGAAAAGTCGAGTGAATCGAGCCCCGATAGGTACTCCTTCGCCCATTCCAGGTAGTTCGCTAGCTGCGCGACCTCCATGCCGTGCATGAAGCCGCCGGTGAGGGACAGCGTGCGCAGCTTCCACGTCTGTCCGGGAGCGGGTGGGACATGCTGCTGGGGCCAACCTATCTGCCAGCCCCTCCCACTCTCAAGTTGGTCGACGTTGTCTAGGAGTATCGCTTCAAGTGTAGGAGAGTCGCGGATGATGAGTACCACCTCGTACAACGACTGCAAGACCAGGTCGCGCACACGCAGGGAGCGGAGCGCAGGGAGTCGTGCACTGAGCGCGGCCAAAGCTGCTCTTTTAAAGGGCGCGTTCCGGCGGTTGTTTTTTGTTGCTTGAGGGTGCAAAACGAGAGAGCGCACGTAGGGGGCGACGGCAGGGGAGCGGTCGAGGACGCCTATGAACGTTTCGGCACGCGAGCTGTGCGAGCCGTTCGACTGAACGGATAACACAACCTCATGCCATAGCCGGACGCGTGAGATGGACAGCAGCGCGTGGCAAGTGAGCGAGCAAGCAGCGAGCGAAGGGATGTCTCCGCGCAGGAAACTGATGATGTGCTCGGTGGTCTCGACTGGAATGGTCAGCGACATGGTGGGCGTAGAGATTGCGTTGTGTTGGACTTGCGGTAGGGTTCGCGTTCGATCGAGCGACTATATAAGAGCTTCACGCCCACCGCAGTAGTGCCCGGTTGCACACACAGCCTTGAAGATGGGAATCAGGTGTCACTACTGTGCTTTGCCAGGGCCCAAGGTCTAGAAAAAGCATACTGAGGCAGTCCGGTATCACAACCCGCGAGGTAGAATTCGACAAGTATGTATCTGGCCACCGATGGCGGTCGAGGTCAAAGAAGTGCAAGCCGGCGCTCCGAGAATCTCTGGCCTGGCTAGGCTGCATCTATTCCAAACTCGGGCCCCTTCCTCCTAGCACGCTATGTCAGTTATAGTGAAGGTCAGAGTACATCATAGATATCTAGAGAGCCTATCCTGTAGACGGCAAACCGCGAGCGCAAACGAGAGTGGGTGACAACGTAGACATCACAGATTTGACCGCGATCTTGCAATGTGATATAATCCAGCTAAAATGCACTTGCAATCGGTTGTAAGGTACCCAATGATCTCTACTTTGGAATCCGTCATAATATCACTCGGATGACGTTGAGCCCCTTACAACTGTCGCGATTATTCCAAAAGCCCCAAATATTCCAAAGTTTCCAATCATCCTGCGCGCAGACAAGGTGCATGATGCTAGCATATTTCCTGATTTCCAATCCGGATCGTACTATGCACGGTAGATGCAGGGGAATCAAATGATATATATTCCAAGCCAAAAACATACATGCAACTGGACGTTGGTGCTACTATGCATACGCGCTACTGGTACTACGATATGTGCTACGAGACGCGCCCCGCCATGCGAGATAGAAGACCGCGAGACCAGACAGCTAGATAGCCTTCATCAGGAGCACCAAGCGAGCGAGGCAACGAGCGAGGA